TGTAAAATTAATAATGTAACATGGTCTGAAAATTTAAAATAAACAGGTTTGATCTCAACCAGTTCATCTAATACCAAAAGCTTATCAGTCAGTCATACCTACAAGTGAGTTCACAGGTGTTTCCTGTAAGTGGCCAATAAACTTCAAATTCTGGTATTTCGTATGTATTTTATTTTGATCTTTTAACAGCGACTAACTCTACAGGTTGTATCGACTTGGCTATTAGTATTATCACGGAAGAATATAATTGGGTCATTCCACAAAAATATGTCAACTCTTAGTCCGCGCCACATTTCACATGAAATATTTGTTAATATTTTATTCCAAAATTGTTAAATAACAGCTCGCAATGTGCTTTATTCATCACCCATTTATATTTTTTGAAACTATTTTTAAAACATCTTAAATTCCTTTTGAATGACCCAAAACGTCATTCCCTAGGCATGTTCGTACTCCAAAAGTTTGTGTTTTGGGACCCACATTTATAAAAACATCAACTTTATCCTTTGTTTTAATTAACGAATAATCTATTTAAATGTATATTACACCAAATTCTATTAATATTTTGCGGTTTCAATAAACAATAATTTGATTTTCTTTAGTTGAAAAAGAGTCTACAGTTTTTAGCGTCATTCCCTCGCCACGCACTGATTTTATAATTTTGCGCTTTAATATGTATTTAGAGTGAATGACATTTAGTTGAGTTTAAAGTACGATACGAAGTTATCCTCAGACCATACTGGCTTTGCGGTAGCCGTTTTTTGAATTAGTGCAAACGTGCCAGTTGTTGCGGAAACATGTGTTAATCCAGTCACTTCGTCAGTCCCTAGTTGAGTAGCTTTATTGATTACAATAGGAAATTGTATATAATTTAATAGTATTTACGTGTGGTTTTTTGGCTATTTTCGGCACATCGTATTAAGCATCTTATAATATAAAGTTAATCTGCATTTGTGTTAAGTTTTACTCCAAATCGTCAGTCCCTAGAGCGTCAGGCCCTAGCTTTAAACGGCACTTGGGACTAAATTACTAGTTAGGGAATGATGTTTTTTATATAGTGATAATAACAAAACAACTACATTATGTGTATTAACTTATCTATAAATGTTAAGGTTAAAAGTTTTATACTTTATTAGAAGTCATATAGGAGTAATGTAGTATGAAAAAATTGAAAATTATAATTTCTCCTAAAATAAAGCATAAAATGACTGGCCCTTTTAGACAGAACATAATTAATTAATAAACAATAATTTACACTAATAAAGTATTCAAAAGCATCTTAAAAAAGTTACGGACAAATAGACGTCGAAAATATACAGATTTTTATGGAATGACCCAATTAATAAAATACTTTATAATATTAATGGCAACCGTAACATTAATCGTTAAATCGTAGTGGTTTATGAAGATGCATTTAATTGAAAGTTTGTAGAAAATCATAAAATTCACGGTTAGGTATAATATCAGAGTAGAAAAACTAATTGCAATTCCCTTAGCATTTAAAACATCTTCATAATAATATTAGAAATGTCAAATGTAAATGGTTTCCAAAATAAAAGTTATTTTTCGTGAGGAAGACACAATAAACGATCACTACTCTTGTGTCTTGATTTTAGTCGCATCTTTCTTATAGGCCAATATTCGAATTTGGAATCGAAAATGTTGTTACTCCTTTATAATCGTGTCTCTACCTAATGTTCTGTTGCATGGATTTTCTTTTTAAGCCTTCTTTTACATTTTTATAATTAATACTAGTCTCACCAGCCAGTCTAAGATCATAAAAGGAACCTCCTGTAAATGTCGGATGGGCCACCTGTGCACACTGCGGTGTTCCCACAACGCCTCCACGTCAATATTGACACAGATTAAATCAATTCCGTGATGCGGGACCGTCTCACGCACAGACATTATCTGGCTCACTCTGTGTACTGTTGTATTTCCAATTATATTATTACCGATCGTAATTATTATCTACGAACATGTTCCACTGATCTATTTGCTCTGATTTGCAAACATCAGAGTTGTTAGTTTTAGATAGCTTTTCATTTGATTTGACATCTTTCAAGCAGGTATTGTAAGTATCCCTACAGGAAGTTTCTTCATTGAAGAAATTGTAGACTTGATAATTGTAAGAAGTTTAAATTACAATTAGACCTGCACCATTACCTAATTTTCTCATTTATTGGTTACAAAACCTATATTTTAAATAAGTTACTTTGTACCAAAATTGTTGAGTCGTGAATCATCATTACATATCTAAGAAACTTCTAATTTCATTATTTTGAAAACTCATTTCGCACTTTCGTCGCATCATCCTCGCTAGCTCCCAAACTGGGCTCTCGGCACGACCGCAGCAGTTGATCAAACACCGCAATAATACGAGCAAACAAAACCCAGCAAAATACCCCCTAATGCGCACACAAGACCACTTATTGCATGACGCCATCCAGTGTAAATATTTGATTACCTCATCCTCTATATTGACAATAAATAGCATAGCTGTGAACATAACCATAAAATAATAATTCAATTAACACGGTTTTTATACGACATTACCTCTCGCAATGACAAAGATCGTACCTACTACATACATACGACAAATACATAGGTATTAGTTACATGTTACATATGTACTTGGCATGTAAACATGCTAATTGCTAACTGGAAAACTTTTGGGCACATCTCCTAATTATAAACGTCTTTTAGATAATACGAAACGGCAAACAAGCATATAATTTACACTAATAACTTACGTTTATTTAACTTTCTTGACAGAAAGACGATATTATCAACTTATATGCGGGTTTCGAAATGACTTTGTCCCTTGTTGTCCGAAAAAGGTCCTTGCAAATCGATACGTCCTTAATAATTAGCGGAGCGAAACATCCAATTTGGCTTTTTTCTTTGGATCCCGTCTAGAGCGGACTCCAAATTAAAACTAAGAATTGGCAACGTTTACCAAAAACGCCAAACGGCATTCACCCGTAAACCAGATACGCCTACATAACGATCGGAGATTTTTAATAATTGCGGACAGCTGCAAACGCAGGATAGATCAGATGTTTTTTGCCGACTCTACATGGTCATATCCTTAATGGGCTGTTGTGAAATCAATGATAGCAAATTGTAGCTTCGAATGTCGTTAGCTACAGCTTTACTTTTGCCGCTCCTCTTTAAGATTTTCGATAACATTGCGCAATGATTTGTTGTTTTTGCGTTGGGCAAAGGAATTTAAGTTGTATCTAAGATGTGAATACAAATAATGAATAATTGATTGAGATAATGATATGGATTAGTCACGAATGTCACGATTAGTTAAAACAAAAATTAAATATTGTGTAATCAACTTTATTTATTGATAAGTATACCTATAAAAATCTGATAACAATATAATCAATAACCAAGTAATTTTAAATAAAAAATATTTATTATCTACAAGGGCTATGAGTAAAAAGTTTTACAGGGAAATCCCTTCACGCAAAAGAAGCTAGCTAGTTACCTTTGGCACGGTAATAATATCATACAGTATTGTAACTTCATATAAACGGACGAAACGCGAGCTTTCCTTCGAAATTCAAATCTCGGTATGCGCTCGACATGCAAAAGTCGGGGGTGTCGCGATTGTGCCACAGTAATAAACGGACGATGTGTTGTTTTTTAAACAGTAAGTGCTTTTTTTATAAAAATAATTACAAGTACCTATTTATACAGGTTGTTAGGTAAATGGGTTTATAAGCCAACACTAGCCCATGTTAACATTTATGCATGTAAATGGTATGCTGAATTAGTCAGTGATATCATTTTATTTATTTTTAATTTTCATACAAAATAAAATTTATAAAATCTGATTTATACGAAAATTAAAATTATTAAAATGATGGTAACAATTTTCTGACTTCACCATACCATTTATATGCACATGTTAATATGGGCTAGTGTCCGCTTATAAACCCATTTACCTAACACCCTGTATAATAATCAAGCATATTGTACGCCTCAGTCGAGGCGCATACATTTTACAGTCGCTACTTTTTTACTAAATCTTAACACAAGTATATTTTTTTTAATTAAATGTACTAATGACAAGACAACATGCATTTTTATCCTATTTCATTCACATAGTATTTTGTTTGTCAAAATAAAATAAAAAATTACCATCACAAAATACCTACATTCGCAAAACTAGATAGAAATTCTAAGTAGGCAGATGTAATGAAAATAGGGTCTGCAGGTGGGCAGCCCTATCACATGTTGTCATACGGTGACGTACCGCGCGGCTGTTGACATTTATTTCAAAAATATGGCCGAGTTGGAATACTGTATAGATAGTATTACTTTGGCTTATGTTAACTTTTTCTGTGGTCAGTTAAATCTGTCACCTAAGGACAAGTTAATAACTACACCTTTATTTATCATTAGAACTACATTTAAATAAAGTGAGGCTGCATTTATGTCATATTCACTTAGTTATTAAGTCACGTAGCACCTCGCCTCAAGGTGGACATGATTGATTGACTGATCGAAGGTTGCATTTAAGTAATGGGATATGCGCATGTAAATACACATGCATATTAACAGCTTTCTGGGTTGCCACGTGTACCTACAGTCATACCGGGAACTAATTAATAATAGGGTACGAGTACAGTAATAGAAGAGGTAATGATTTTATTTCATATTAAGCGTTACAGTAATTACGAACAATATTTCAGAAGAAGATTTGTTCTATTACCGCAGACATCATTTTGAGACCCCTTATGATTCTCGTCAGTTGTTCCAGACACGGAGAGAGACAACATAAAAAAATACTCGTAAATTGAATACCTCATCTAAAGTTATTTTATTTTCATAACCATTACATAACGACTCCGCTTACAATATGACGCTCATTGATCGCATTATCTGTATTTTATCTCCAATACAATAATCATAATTATGCCCCTTTATTATCTAACTGACAATTAGGTACCTACTCATATTACTGATCATTATTATTAGTAGACAGTTCGTCATTGATAATTTAGAGCTCACTCGGTTAGCACACATTATTTTGTGCACGGCGCGGCACTCGTAATACGTCATCACCTTGAACGCGCTTCATACAAACATATTTTTATTGCGCACGGTTTTCCTCACGAACCGTCTCGCCTTGCCGTGTGCAAGCAACGCGACTGGGTGACCGGCGCAATTTATAAGGGCGTACGGCACTCTCATTACTAAGTCTTCACTCGCATTCACGATCCAGCGGATATCAAGCCATCCCAATGGCTCAAACAGTGGAAAACGATATCAAAGCTTCAGCTTTGGACCTGATTGGCAACACTCCAATAGTTGCGCTCGACCGTCTCTACACCGGGCCTGGCAGAATCCTAGCCAAATGTGAGTTCATGAACCCTGGCGCTTCTATCAAATGTCGGTCGTCGCTTCACATGATCAAGAAAGCGCTAGACTCTGGTGAATTGAAGCCGGGCATGCCAGTCGTCGAAGTCACCTCAGGAAACCAAGGATGCGGTCTTGCGGTTGTGTGCGCGGTACTGGGCCACCCGCTCACTCTCACCATGTCTAAAGGAAACAGTATGCAACGAGCTATTCACATGGAAGCGTTAGGCGCTAAATGCATTCGAGTAGATCAAGTGGAGGGGACGTATGGCAACGTCACTCTCGCTGACGTCAAAGCTGTAGAGGAGGTGGGGCTCAAGATAGTCGACGAAAGTGGCGCTTACTACGTGAACCAATTTAACAACGATGGAAATTCGATGTCACATTATGAGACGACAGGACCTGAGATTTGGAAGCAAACCGGGCATCATGTAGATGTCTTTGTAGCCACAGTAGGAACCGCGGGTACGTTTACAGGAACGTCAAAATATTTGAAGGAACAGAACCCGAACATCAAGACTTTCGTCGTGGAGCCTGCAGGTTCGGAACCCATAAAGGGTGAGCCGATATCGAAGCCTCTTCATTTGCTTCAAGGGTCTGGTTATGGGTGTGTGCCCAACTTGTTTAAGTTTGAGAATATGGATGGGACTGTTAGTATAACTGATGAAGAAGCTGTGAAATACAAGAAGCTGATCGGTGAGAAGGAAGGTTTATTCGTTGGTTATACAAGTGGGGCTAATGTGGCTGCAGCTGTGAAACTTTTGGAGTCTGGCCGCGTGCCGAAGGATGCATGGGTGGTGACTGTCCTCAACGACACGGGATTGAAATATACCCCAGTGCCAGAAGAATTAACCTCGTAATACTGATTACGCCAATTAAATCAATACATATTTGTATTTAAATGTTCAACTATGAGTGTGTGTTAATACTTGGTAAGTGTAGAGTAATACACAATTATTAATTAAGTGTGAATTAAGTAATTTATATTTTTTTCTAAATAAATTTTTTATTCAGTAACTACAGCTTATGATTTCGTAAAAATAACTTCTGTCTATGACAATGAAAAACTTGACAATAACTTGAGAAACCTATTTACGTTTCTTAATTCTATAAATATTTTGTTTATCTTATAAAACTGACGAAATTGCAGAAATGATAAATAAACAGATAGATAGGTCAAGATGAATGCCGAACGGGGTTATCATAACATTCATAACAATACAACGATCATTTTGTTGGATAATAAAATTAAGTAATTATGCCAGTGACAAAATATGAATTTATCAAATTATTCAAATTCCTCGAATGCTTGTCCCCAGAATGGAAACTTGTCATCGTCGAAAGTGTTAAATATTCGGCCAGCATGACTTGTTACCTTCAGGATTTTTTAAATCAATCCAATTACCTTTTTCTGATGCACCGCTTCTGAATCATTAGCATTCGCAAAGTTTAAAGTAGGAATTTCTCAGAAGACTTCACAAGACTATAAACAATGCCGCGCATCGTTAGCTTAAAAAATGGCAATAAAAAAGTCAGATAAATAACTTAGACCGAAGTGGAGCAAACTCGTCGATATCTGCCTGCGGCGGATTCCGCGTCCAAATAACTATTCAGACCCAAATCAACAAGCAAATAGGAAAAAAAATTCACCAAATCCCACTTCCCTTCTGTCGAGTGTTCCGCCTCTGAGAATATTCGTCAAAGCCGAACCATAACATTGCTTTACTTCGAATTATCTAATCACAATTCAAACTGACTAGTTATTTGCATGAAATTGAGATAAGATATGGCCAATGTGTTTATCTTGGTATACTTTATAACTATAGATTCTGGCAGCGACAGCTCGTGTTGATTTCGCTTTTCCGGACAATTTTTCAAATTTTCCCTCTTACAAGAATCTTCATGACATTTGAATGCAATTATACTGGGTTTATAATATTTTTGTGCAGGTCTCTAAAATTTTAATTCTAAGCGCCAAAAACCGAGATCTCATTTGGTTTCCATGGATCCAATTAAAGGGTACATGGAACACCTGCCCGCCCTGTGCCAAATTAAGATAGTATAATGCGTTTTGCATACTAATGCAGGTGTACAATTATTTTATTTTGTTCCTTCATGCTAATTCTTGAGTTATATAACGAAAATTGGGCACGTAATTTTACTTTGGCTAGAAAATGAGAAGATCATTTGGTATTTAATTTTATTGAAGATTTGCATATTTTCAATTATGTATAACAAATTGCTTTTCTTAAGTTTTTTGTTTATACTTGGATAAAACATATATTGTGATAACAATAAAATCGATTGATGTAATTGAAAAACCCGAAGGACATGCAACGTATGGTATTAAAATAGATAAGTGTCATTACTGTTCTCAGAAATCATTTTTTTAATGTATAGCTTTTAGTAGCTGAATGGGTAACATGCTACGATGAACCCAAATATACATGTCAACAAATTGCATTATTTGCGCCAACTGGCAAAACACACAAAAAGTGCAAATAGCCGACACCCTTCGGTAGCCGCGCGATTATGTCATGAGTGGCAATCAGTGCCTTATTGCGACTTCTATATCACCCATCCCACTATAAACCATAAAGTGTACTGATTAGGGTCCAAATTTCGACTGGAGTCTACTTTTAACTACTGTTTACAACCACATTGAAAATACAACTCTACTGCCCTTGTTAAAGAATCACTATTGCTGTATCAGTCGGACATCAGAAGACCTACCAGATGTCAACGCGGTGCTGGTCTATTGTTAACAAATATGGGTACAATTGTGCACAATGGGTTACAGTATTTTATTTAGCGGAGGCAAGTAGACTAAACGGGCCAAATGTCGGCATTGATAATTGGGGTATAGGTACGATTGGATGAAAAGGGCCAAATATGGCATGCAACTGTTAGAATGGGAATTCTATGGTGACACTTCAAAGTTAGATTGTAGGCTGTAATTGATTTATTGACCGATTGCCAGATTACCTCAGGGCAGTATGGTATGCTGAGTGAGCTAGTTACTAAGGGCTACTACGAAATATAAGGCACATAGCAGAAGTAATTGATGGTCTCGCCTCACAATATCATGTAGATAATAGTAGCTCTCTCTTTAATATTATGATAGAGATAAATTGTGATCCGCCTAGACTTTCCATTGAGACTCTCTAAGCTTCAGAACATGTTATTGGATTTTAAGTAACAATAAATTGTTCACATAACTAACTTAACTTATATGGGCATACAGGCGTATTAGAAAAAATATCTAATTCATATCAGATCTACCCGATCAATATCCATTTATTAGCACCTAAAAGGCGATTCGACACGAGTAAACATTATGATGTCGACAATCTAAACACGTAATCACGTCGAAAGTGTCGGATTCCCACGAGATGTAACACCTGCGCCCGCGCATACAATGCTCGCATTCCAAGATGCGCCTACCCGCGGCTAGTGTTGAGACTGTATCTAAAAACCGAGGAGAACTAAAGTTCTTCTTACTAAGGGTGGATTCGACCAAACAAGAGTAAATATTAATCTCAGAATATATCGTCATTTAATCGACATTTTGACATATTTACCATACTGAAACTGTCACTGTCAATGTGCCAGTTATCCCAGGAGTTATTCTCGGATAAAAATTTGGTCGAATCGGGCCTAAGAGAGACTTAGGAAATAGATCACAAAGATTTGTAACAGTTATTCTAATATGTACACATTTTCTCGGGTTTCCCAGAAAGATTTTAAAATATACAGGATTTCAGGAATTTTGTCAATGGGTTTTCACTGTTCTTGTAACCTGATTACCTATTTATGCCTGAAGACTCATAAAAGCTGCGAGTGGTTGTTTTTAGCTGAAAGTAGTCTAATAGGAGAACGAGCGCGTCAAACGTATTATAAAAGGAAGCGAAATGGCGCTAGACATAGAGATCTTTATCACGAAAACAACATATTTTTGATATATAATTTTCTTAAAAAAAGCATAACTGACGATCCTGAATTCTTGATTTATAGTATTATCAAGCTTGTGATTTGTCAAAATATTGAAATTTAAGCAAGAACATCTGGGCCACCTTCGATATAAAAAAGACCGATAAATCTCTAGGCAATCCTAAAATGTAATGCACATCACTGGCCGATGCGCAAGTCGTGACGTGTATTACACGCTGAATTACCAACGAATGGACCCAATCGGGACCTTTGGTGATGTGAAAGAACTCAATAAAACGAACAGTTAGAATATAACAATAAAATAATAATCTTATGCCTTGGAGCAATGTAGAGATCTAAGAAACGTCGTGTTTAAAGATTTGTTTAACCTGTTTAAAATATTTAGGGGTTTTTAACAACAAAAAATCTACAAAATATTACACAAATCAATTATTTAAGCAACTTGTGTGACCGTTTTAAAGTTCTGTCTGATTCGTTCGTTCGTTTCAGCCAAATGACGTCCACTGCTGGACAAAGGCCTCCTCCAAGGTTTTCCACAATGCACGGATCTGTCTGATTATTACAAACAAATATAGGTACGCTCATTAATTTGTGTTTTCAGTTAAAGCTGCCAAATGAGTCAGTCTCAGTACTCTAGGTACAACACAACTCTACAATAACAAAATAAATTATCGGTAAATTAGGAACCTTTTCAAGGTAATCACTAAGTACAGATTATAAACGGGTCCGTGGCCGAGTCCCCCAGTTTTCGACGCACCCGTGGTCGACGCCCCCGGTCAGTTAAATTCGATTTGAAGCAATTTTTAATCAAATGTACAGTCAGGCACAAAAATGTTTATAAACGAATAAATATTTATTAGGCCCCAGTAGAATTAAACACAAAAATGAATCTAATGAAATGAAAATAATTCCTACAAAAGTTTTTTGTTTCTTACTACTGCTGGTTTTGGGTTAAAATTTTGCTCCCAGATTGCATAAATAGCGTCAAACATGCATAGTTTAGTATAATAATTAGCTTGTGAAGCTTTTTTCGTTGACTGTACTTAGTGCAAAAGCCGAAAAAAATATGATATTAAATTTATTTAAATCGGGGGCGTCCACCACGGGTGCGTCAAATACTGGGGGACTCGGCCACGGACCCTTTTATAAACAAAGTCGCTTTCCTGTCTGTCTGTCCCTATTTATGCTTAGATCTTTAAAACTACGCAACGGATTTTTTTTAATAGACAGAAAATGCATATTATAGAAGAGAAAAGCCGGGAAATTTCATTGCAACCGTGCGAAGCCGTGACGGGCCGCTAATTTCAATTATAAATTAATGTTAATACAGCGGAATTTTAATTAAATTATCAACTTAATTTATGTTATTGAATGTAATATGATACGGTTATAAATAGATAATATGTATTTTGATAAAAAAAGAGCCAATCCAACATTTATTTGTGCCGCAATTTTGCTTATAAAAAATCTTAAAAATACAAAGAGAATGCTTTCAAAATAATCTTTTCACTGGGTGCTACGGTGATCCGTGACCATTGTGGAAGTTTTTTGTTACTAATTGAACTGAAAGATAATTTATTGTCCTGCCGCAACAACAACCAGACAGGCTGTATTGACGGAAAAGAGACAACCGTACTTTTGTTCGTAGGACATTAGAAAGAGATGCAAACAGTCGCCTCGCTCTGTGGGAATCAAATCACGACTCACGCGCAGCGCCGTGGAAGGATCCCGGGACTCTTTATATCTATACAGCGTGTTCTTTTACTTTAATTAATGATTTATAAAGTTAATCAACATAAATTATTATTATATCAATATTCTTTCATTATTCTTTCATGAAACCAGCGGAACCATCGGTTTTTTTTAATAAGTAGAGTCGATTTGAGTGTAATACTCAATATCAGAGGCGATCGAAATATTTTTTCAATGCCAGCCGCTCACTCTCATAAAAGTGATATTTAATTTACTTACTTATTAAACGTGGTAGAGCACGTCGGACAAAAAATTTTTACTCAAATATATAGCACCTATTACAACTAATAAGATGCCTCTGCCACCTTGACACGTCGCCCGTGCATTGGTTTAAAATGTACTGAAAATCGTATTGTACTAGTAAACCTTCATAATAATATCCTTAACCTCAATCATCATAGCCACCACGAGGGTGTTAAGAGGGCCCAGTCCCATCTTCGGTCTGGCTGGACATGGACTGTACATATTTCCTTAACGATAACGCTGTTCTGCTATAAATAGACCAACATCTTCCCATCGTGTGAACAGTATCACAGTATTGTCTGAACAGTGAACCAAAGCCTCTTCGAACAGACTCTACTTCTATATCTGTAGGACCTATAATATCCTGAAATGCTATATTCCAGCGGATTTGCGTTTCTACCTTACTTATTTTATATTGTAATTTTGTAAATTGAAAGTAGAAATGTGGTCCAGAACGGAACACGCTGTAGAGTGCCGTGGGCAGGTTCGGATGCACCTGAGTATTTCACACCGCGACTCGCTGGCGCCGACGGCCAGTCTACTATAGTCTGTGACCTGGGCCCATAGCGCTGTGTATGTGTAGACAGAATTCAGCTTTGATTTTTCCTAATACAGCACAGATTTTTGGTGTCGCTTCTAATTGCTCATATGTAAGATTCAACCACGATGTTACGGAAATCTTCAATAATATAGGACCTATAATAGAGTTATTGTTACAGCAAAACTATAGGTAGGATCGCTGGACTCTGGAAAGCGTGTAACTTACTATTTGTATATTATTTAAAAGCTTGGTAGTATTTTTTTAAAAGTTTTGTTAGATTCTTTAGACTTTTTCATTCAAATAAAAGCGAAAATGATTATAAAAAAAATATGTAAATTATTATACGGACGGACAACATGTTTCCCCTCGAATTCTACTATTGAATCAGTGTTATTCAATATTATTTGGGAGAAAAAGGATTGACCACGCTGAACTATTCCATATTTAACGTTATATTTTTGTTATTAATTGGAGTTTTTGAGTCATCAAGGCTCATTTCTGCGCCGTGTCTATAAAAACATAGCTCTAGCCGCCTACTCGCAGCGAGCGATGTCGTGGCCCGTAATGGTATTAGCGCATTCCTCAACTCAGGCCGTCGCGACGGTGCGACATTGTCGCTTGAGTGCGTCTCTGTACTTAACACTACCTCAATAATTTGACTATCTTCCTACAAGAACTACTATACTGTATGACTCATTCATCAATAGCTGTCCACTGTTGGACTATAAGCTTCCACCACTTTAGCCATAATCTCGCAGATCGACGTTTATGAGATTAATGCGCTCTGTTTAATTTAATGAAGTACAGTACATATAACAGAAAAGTAATAACAGTTTTTCTTACGCCTATTTGACGATAGTGATAAGGCCGTGTCACAAATTTTGATTTAAGGTAGGTATAGAGTTTGTTTAGTCAGGGCTTGTAGTTATAAGATTGGCTGAATTGGCTCTACATGGAACTTAATTAAGTCTCGTCTTGGCAAAATGTTATATGAAAATGTTTGTAGTGGGATTCTATATCCAAATTAATAAAGCCATAGGTTGGTAAATTAGGCAACTTCCCACCTGATCCTGTTTAAGATAGTAAGCTCTGACGTTGGCTAGAGAAGTTAGTCACTCAAATCGATTCATTAAGCAATAATTGTAAATTTCTAACAATCTGGAGGATATTTACATTTTGTCTAAGACCACAGTCCTCATGACATGGATATAAGGAAGGGAAACGCACCAAGCAATCATTGCCATTGGTGTTGAGGTTTCCGTTATAAATGATTTTAAAAACTTTAATAATAAACATTTATTTGTGTGAAATATACGACCATTGAAAATATTAATATTTTCGGTCAAAATCTAATACAGAATAGGACAATACAGGTATGCAGAAATTTATGCTTTCATTTAGGAACTTAAATTGTATTTTTCGTACAGCTCTTTGAACAGCTTAACTCTTGCCGGATACAAATCCTCTTTCATTTTTAACTCTTCATCGATGTACAAGTATGCTAGACCAGTCTCCGCTATCGGTTCCCATTTGGTTGGCAGTAACTCATTCACTTCAGGAGTAGGATCACTAGAAGAAAAAAATAAGAATCAGATGTTGATTAATATTTAAGTACACTAATGTTACAAAAATAAGCCGTAGAAACTGGTTTGGTAAAATGAAAATATTCATGTTAATAAGCGTGGAACTTACCCATATTTGGCGAAGTTGGTCCACATTCCGACGAGCCTATTTTTGACTATCTCGTCGGTTTTAGAAATCTCCCCATCTAAAATAGAGCTCTTTATAATGTAACCTCCTTCATCACCGTGGCAAGCTCCTTTGCGTGGGATATTATACTTTTTCTTTAAGTAATTTAGTGCTCCATCGTAAGCGAACTCATAAAAATATACCGGAGAATTATTTTTAGCGATTAATGATGCAGAGACATAACCTCCTCCAAAGAAGTCAACATCTGTGAAATAATCAATCGCAAAAGCATCTTCATCATCAAATTTTTGCTCGGCTTCCAAGTAAATTGTTTTAAATTTGGTTTCCATAGCTTGTTTCTCAGTTTCGTCAATATCAAATGGTAAAAAATCCAAAAAGTTTTTTTCTTTTTTCAACTTTTCCAAACGCGCTGGATGGTGAGATACCATAAGGAGACCTTCTCGAGAGCAAAATCCGGATATAAAAGGTACTTTCGTGAATTCCCCAGACGCTAACGCATCGTACGGTTTTTTGTCCAAAAATGTTTCCCAATCTGCAGATTTTTCTACAGTTGGCACGAAACCAAAAGTAATGCCACCATCCCAAGCTTCAGCAGCAAGTACCACCATCGAATATGTAATCAAGTCTTTTGTGGATAATCCTTTCAAAAACTTAAGCAATTTTTCATCGCTTGTAACAATATTTCCTGTAATCAAACGTATTTTGTGAGCCATTTTTTTGATTTTACTGCTCTGTGCCCAGGGTAGTAAAGTCGATCCTGACTGTGCTATGGCCTTGTGAAATAAACCTTTAGCCATTGGTGACAAAAGCAAGTACTCCACAGATGCACCCCCAGCACTGACTCCGAATATGGTAACATTATTGGGATCGCCACCGAATTGTTTTATATTCTTTTGTATCCATTTAAGAGCTTGAACTTGGTCTCTGAGCCCCATGTTTCCTGGAGCATCTTTGCTATTCAATGCTAAGAACCCGAGTATTCCAAGTCGGTAGTTGAAAGTGACAACCACGACATCTTTTTCTATAAGAAAATCGGGGCCATGGACAGTATCATCAGTGCCAGAACCAAACACGAACCCTCCTCCATGTATGAAGACCATGACTGGCAAGAGAGAGTCATCTGACGCTGGTAATTTAGGCGAATAAACATTTAAATACAAACAGTCTTCATCTCCCACGACAGACTGTGTCGCTCTGTCCAATTGAGCGCAAATATTGCAATTTTTTGTGGCATCTCTCACTCCTTCCCAAGGTTCTGGTGGTACGGGGACCTATGAGAAATTAAACAGAAAGTTTAATGAACATTGTGAGTTTAATTCTTCTTACGTTCTCGCGCTAAATACTACCTGCCTTACGGCCTAATGTTTATGAAGTACATTATTTTACATTATATTGACTTCAATATTTCTAATGAAAGATTTTTCAAACTAGTAGGTATAAGGGGAGTATAAACTAGAGCATTTTCTCGAGCATGTAATGTAACGTTCTTACGAATGCCGAATGGTACAATACAGGTAAAATGTAGGTACGACGTTTGGTTCGTAAAAGGGTGATACACTAGACTAGAACATATCATAGAGCGGGTCGTTCTGTTACAAGTAAATGATCTAGCTAGTCTATAGGTACTCACCTTTAAGGCCTCAGCCTCGAACTTAGCGGGCAGCGGCGCGGGAGCGGCGGCGGGGCGGGAACGGCAGGATCTTAGGCCTCAGCCTCGAACTTAGCGGGCAGCGGGGCGGGAGCGGCGGCGGCGAAGTGTTGTGTTCGGGGTTGTGTTGTCTAGATATTTGTTTTTATTCGCAAACGAAATGTCTGAACAACGGCGACAATTTTATTTCGATTCAAATTTATTCCTAACGCTCGATTTATTGTGGGCAAAAGAAGGAGTGCGCTGCCCGCTCGTTGCCCGCTCCCTCGCCGCTGCCCGCTCGTTGCCCGCTCCGGCGCCGCTGCCGCGCCGCTGTTTTCGAGAACCGGTCTATTTGATTTTACGCATAAGATCCTGCCGCTCCCAAGCCGCCGCCGCCGCCGCCCCGCTGCCCGTTAAGTTCGAGGCTGAGGCCTTATGCGTAAAATCAAATAGACCGGTTCTCGAAAACAGCGGCGAGGCAGCGGCGACGGAGCGGGCAACGAGCGGGCAGCGGCGAGGGAGCGGGCAACGAGCGGGCAGCGCACTCCTTCTTTTGCCCACAATAAATCGAGCGTAAGGAATAAATTTGAATCGAAATAAAATTATCGCCGTTGTTGAGACATTTCGTTCGCTAATAAAAACAAATATCTCGACAACACAACCCCAAACACAACACTTCACCGCTAAAGCGCCGCGCGAGCTGCCCGCTGGTTTCGAGAACGGGTCATTACGGGTCTGCGTTGCCCGCCCCGCTCCCGCGCCGCCGCCGCCGCCGCCCCGCTGCCCGCTAAGTTCGAGGCTGAGGCCTAAAGCTTTTAGGAATATTATCTTAATCGGTCGGCCATTTGGTGTAGTGGTTCGAAACGGACTACTATTCCGGAGGTAGCGGGTTCGATTCCCGCACAGTACAAACATTTGTGTGCATGAAAATATTTGTTGGTATTGGACTGGGTGGTTTTCTATGTATAATAAGTATGTATTTTAAAAAAAAAGTATTTAAGTATGTTTATATCCGTTGTCTAGTACCCATAGTACAAGCTTTGCTTAGTTTGGGACTAGAAGCGCAGTGTAAAATGTCTAAGGATATTTATTATTTATTTTAATCTGTCCCAAATGTAAATCCGAATTTGAGCCTAGAGTATAAGAAAAACTCTAGTTTAAACATTGAAGTAATAGTACATTTATCTCAATGAGTTCATAAAATATAGTTTTTTACATTGTTTTGACCGCGACTCAAACTTGGGACCTACAAACGGCGCTCATTCAAAACTCAAAACACCACACTGCACTAGTTGTTGCTACGCTACAAAACCTTGATAGAATAACACCCGAATAATACGGTTCTTGATTTAATATTAAATTAACATCTACATTAAATAATATTAGTAGGTATGCTGTATTAAAACTTTTAAAGTTATGAATGTACCTACCTACCTTGGTAAGGCATAATATTATTATATGATTGTATTGAACATTTAATGCGAAGGTCACTGTACAACTTTTGCTGATAGTACAAAATACACGCAGTGTGCAAAGCTTTGTAAAAAGCACTTTTAATAATTTAAGTTTGCCATGAAAAATTATTCATAACTAAGCTTTGAATAATATTACACACCAAAAAAACAGGTGTTCTATTAAAATACTTACGGAAAATCTCAGTTCACCGACCGGAGGCTTGGCATAAGGTACACTTTTGAATGCAAAATACTCAAAATTATTCAAAGTTTTGTTTACTTTTCCCTTTAGTTTGCCCTCTTCTACCTTCACAACTGGGTCCGACATTGTATTTACGTTATCAATTAATATAAACTTTTGATAAACACCGAACTAAGACCCAAGCGTAATAAATATAACCTCAAAGCGTTTATATTTATTCTGTGACGAAAGGAAACCTTTCCTTTCACATTCGATGTTTGCGCGCGGTCGGAGCGCCGCCGAACACAGCGCCAAATTTTTACGGCTGCTAATAATAAAACGTGCATGCTTTCCTGCCTTGGTAAGGTTTCATTTAATGTATACTTTATTTAATAGATGGCGCTATTTCTGCAATGTAATATTTTTAAATTAGTGTAGTCTTTATTCTAAACTAGCTTTCCGCCCGCGGCTTCGCCCGCGTGGAATTTTGTCTGTCACAGAAAAACTTTATCGCGCGCGTCCCTGTTTGAAAAACCGGGATAAAAACTATCCTATGTTCTTTCCCGGGACTCAAACTATCTCTATGCCAAATTTCATCAAAATCGGTTGCGAGGTTTAAGCGGGAAAGCGTAACAGACAGACAGACAGACAGACAGACAGAGTTACTTTCGCATTTATAATATTAGTTGGGATGGACACAGTTACCTTTTAATTTTACAACAAGTTACATAATAAGGTAAAATTAAATAAATACAAAATAAAAACCTGTAACTTGATAATGGCTCATCAACCTATCGCTACCATCACCTCCACAGATGCGAATTTTATTAAGATTAAAACTGATACATTTTATTAGACCGCATGTACTTAATAACGGAATTACACTCCAGTACATAAAATTTAATGCAGTTAGATTTTTTTTATAATATGCACCCTCCTTAAACTATATTTAACAACCAGAGAAAGACATTAAAGATTTTTGATACTGCTACCTATTCTGTACTGCAACGAAAAAGGTGTTATCTTTTTTGGGAAATAATAATTAATTCTCTTTAATCCTTGTGGTCCAGAATATTATCAAAATAATTATTTGAGTAACGTCATTAGAATTTACTAAGCACTCAACAAATCTCGGGCGCAAGATAGCCGGATGCGCACCTGTGTACCTTGTCTCGTGAGAACGTCTACCTCTGTCGTTCGTTAAGGTACTTTAAATTCAAAGAGCAGTGAGTTATGGTCTAAATTGCGATAAAAGAGGATTTGTGTGCGTTTAAGGCTTTACTGTAATGTAGTCGGTGCCGCGTTTGCTGTTATTTTGTACGCACCGAACATCCGCGAGCTATTATCGTACAAATTATACAGTGTCTATGCTCGCGAATTATTCAAGATTGTAAGACCGCAAGAAACAAAAAATAATTTAAATAAGAGTTTCTCTCTATTTTATTATTCGGTAAACATTTATTGTTCAGTTGAAGAAAAAACATAGGAATATTATTACTCGTAATCGCAGCGTATAGCCTGACCAGGAACATAAAAACCCTGGCATAGAGGCGCGTCAATTGCATTTGATAGTGCAACACTGAGTACAGTCGTACCTGTGTTAAATTAATAGGCTAACTTTATGTATCAGGATTCAGGATTACGGGCTAATTTGATATTTTCATAAATTAACGAAAAAATATTATTATAGGTTGGTTAACCTGGTTTCAGTAAATTAAATGAAACCATCAATCGAGCTAGTAGGATTTATTTTATTATTCATCAATAATCAAATTCAGAACTTGAATATTCAACTGCAATGTTTGCTCATGAACGCTTCAAACTCGGTACCTCTTTCCCAATTCCATAAAATTCAACACTTAGAAAGTGAAAATTTTTTAAAAAATAGGTAGTTGAAACAAACCACAGCTAATTTTCATAGTGGACTGTACTATGCGATAAACATGTCAGTCAATTTGACAACCTTTGTCGGAAACATTATTCAATGAAAATATTGTCCGAACCCTTAGTATTTCTCTTCGACAAATACTTTAACATATTGTAAACCACTTTTCTTTCAAGGCTATAAAAATATTTTAGCAATTTAAGTCACAAAATCAATTGCGCACATTTAAAATAAAGTTTGTTTACACTTTGACAGCAATAGACTGACATGCAAGGTGACATGACAATGAAGTTTTCAGTTATAGTTCCAAAATACTGAACTGTCCTATCGATGACATTGACAGCGGGGCGCCACCGTCAATACCGAATCGCTGGTTCCGATTTTTGCCATGTTGGAAACCATATAGTTGAACGATGGTAGCGCCCCCCTGTCATTGAGTTTGGCGGGACAGTTCAGCGTGGGTCATCTATACTGTTGCCATTAAAAGAAATTAGTACCATTAGTTTTCCGCAACATGGCGAGGGTTTTTATGTTCCTGGTCAGGCTATACCTAATAAATAGGTACATGGAGATGACATTTAGTTTTATTAGGTAGAAGTGCCCTCATCACCTTTTACCATTAGGTGTAAATTAGTTTTGATAGCCAAAAGAATTCCACAAAAGAATACTCTTGCGTGTTTGGATTACGTTCGGTTATTTTGAATTAAATTTATCATGAGTTTCATCGCCTTATTACAGTAAAACTACGTACTATAGCTAAGCTAATTTATAAATTAGGTAAGTATTTATTATTTCTTCAGGTAATATTATGGTCACCCTAAGAATCGCACACGTGTGTTGTTTGCGAAATTTGGCCCTATAGGTAGTTGGCCGTGTGAACCGCCGCTTTTTGAGCTTTTCCGAGCTTACAATAAATCTTTTTACCCATTCAGGCTTCTTTGTGGCTAGATTCCTTTGTGAATGCGTAAATTGATTTGTCCCACGATGATAAGTAACGTTCTTTTGTTTTTCGTATGAAGATGAATAAATTAAGTTGTTTTATTAGATAGCAAGAAACATTGTTTATTTGGTTCGTACCTATAATACTAAACTTATGAGAGCTAGGTATCATTGAACAAAGAGTGAAAGTTCATTAATAATTAATCTAATTTATTTCGTAAAATATTATCACATAGGGCTCGTATTACAAAGAACAGGCAGCTGAAAATATTTTAAATGCAACATGTTTAATTAATGAGCATTTATCTAATATTAAGCATGAAATTGCTTGAGTTTCAATACCAATCACAAGTTTAAATATCGCCAACACTTTTAATTAAAACATGGAATGAGTGAGTAGGTAAATCAGGCAGGCGATGACCGTTGCTGACTCGGTCCACTCCCATCACGTATGTCTCCATCCCCCTTTGTTGAGTCTGATGATGGCTGCGTGGGCGAACGCAGGTGTGGCGGAGACTGGCCGGCGCCGCGGCGCATTCCGGCGGCGGTCACGCGGCGCCGCCGTACTTGATGACGCGATTTGTCCAACTGGACCGATTAGCTTGAGCTATTTAGCTCGAGCAGCAGTAATGCATAGCATCTAACAAGTAGGTAACAACCATAAAACCGCACAGTCAGACAAAGCAGAAACCAGAGGCTGGCTGACCATAAGCTCTTCCACTTACTTAGGGTAGACCGGGGACAATAGTACCATTTTTTGGAAATTGATCAATATTGAGAAATCTAATGAAATATAACTTATTCTGTTAGGATGCTGTAAATACTAGACTCTTAAGCTACAAATGGCAATGCCAGATTTTGTATGGAAAGTGGCGTCTTTTTTTTTTCGCGCGGCCATCGATCAAACTTTGTTTTTTGATTACAAAATAGTGTAATAAACCAAACTTACTATGGCATTTATACCTCTAAACTCAGTCTGAACTGAGTTACGAGCATTAGAAGTTTGATGATTTTCATACTAGATTTGCTTTTTGTGCGCAAGTTTTGTAAGAAATTGCAACAAAATATTGCGATATTTTTTTATTGCGCTGATTCTGCTCCATACTGATGTCTGGAGCATTTAATGGATGGTATTGTTTGTTTACACATACAATCTCACTAGTTTGTTGCAATTTCTTACAAAACTTTTTGAAAATCATCAAACTTCTAATGCTCGTAACTCAGTTCAGACTGAGTTTAGAGGTATACATGTCATAGTAAGTTTGATTTATTACACTATTTTGTAATCAAAAAACAAAGTTTTATCTCGCTCTCTGTGGGCAGACTTGCTCTTTCTAAATAAACAAAAAATATAAAATTGCTCAAATTCAATGAAACCAATGTAAAATCTTTATTTCTTGACATAGGTATCATTAAAAATGATAAGTGTAGTTACTGGTAAAACGTTTTAGGAAGAAATTACTGTAAAAAATGTGAAAAATGTTTACAATGATCCAATGTCGGAAATCACGAAATAAACACTTACGCGTGGAATCTTATGTCACTTCCAGGACACCACGTACTACCGCAACCACGCACTACAAAATTTTGCACCAATTCTTGTGATAAAACAATGATTATTTCCTGTAAACAATCTCAAACGAAATTAACTGCTTAATAAACAAAATAGTAAACAACCGCCATGATGGGCCGGATTGGGCCGATGTTGCCACATGGTACCGATTACCCAGGAATTGGGATTGTAATTCCCTGATTCGCCAACACATTAAGCCTAAATGGCCGACAATTTTGTGATTTTTTATTTAACTAGGTAATCTTAGTTTCAAATATTAATTATTTATTTAACTTCTGATTTGGTTAGTGTATTGGCTATTTCGAAGAATTTACAAGGAGATTTAAATCAGAAGATAGCAATACTACAGTTCACACTAAAAAGAGAGGTAGGGCCGCAGAGAGCGAGATAGATATAAGTAGGTATTTGACTCAAGTTTTGTTCCAAACTCTGCCCTCCATTTTTATCTGTAGCTTCATGATTGTACCGCTACAATTGACCCCATGGAAACTGGTACAATTGTTCCATCCAAGTAGGTAGTCAAAAGAACTTCACCTAAAATTCAGTCATTTTCACAGTGAATGCCAATTATTCGCTGTCGATACAAAGTTTAGAGCCTGGATAAACTATTGACAACAATACCTTGTAACAAATATCATATTAGGCAACTTATGGGCTCATATATTTGACGTAAAAACTTACTGCGGCTGGGCAAAAAACAAAAATCCTTCCTGTACATCTTCGTTTCTCAGCGCAAGCGCCGCCGACTGGTGAGCGGATGGAAACACAAAAAGCGCATATTCTGACGCTATGCACACAACCTAACGTCGCTTGTATGAAGAAATATCGCCGATGGTACTATTGACCCGTGGTACTATTGTACCCGGTCTACCCTAGGTCTTAATATTATACATTTTCTAGACATGACTATAATATGGACAACCTGGAAGTCGCTTATCTCATTTTAATCATCATCATCTTCATCTCAGCCATAGGACGTCCACTGCTGAACATAGGCCGCCTCCCCATTGCTTTCCATGTTTCCCGGTTGGTAGCGGCCTGCGTCCAGCGCCCTCCTTCCTTTGGTGGACCTTTAAGATGTCGTCGGTCGGTCCACCTTGCCCACCACTTGCTTTCATTATTTTTCTGTAAAAGAAATGAAAACATGATTTACTGCCATCTATATTTAAGATTCAAAGACATGCTTTCATTACTTACTGATATTTTTACTACTCCATGACAGATGTCACTGCAACTTCAGTTTTATACTACTCCTCAACAGATGGCAGTGCTTGTTATGATAAATAATTTCATGAATTATTATAATTAATTTAATCTTTTTAATAACGATATAATCATGAATATATTAAAAATTATACTTAATTAAAAATTATGAAACATTAGATTTCAACTAAAAACTTATCAACACTGGCAATCATGAATAAAATAGTACGATAAACGGTAAAGACGGGAACTACAACTTTTTGTATGTAATTTGACAGATTAACGTGGAAGTAGCGCCCTCCTTTAATTTCATTAAAATCTTTGGCAATAGGAATACGTCAAAAAAAGCGTGTTGAGCACGAAAGAGTTCTAAGTTCAGTCGCAAAGGCAAGTTCGTTCACTCGCCGGCTCCGAGACGAGAGAATATTCTAGATCTAAAAGTGTAGACAGCTAAGAAAGTCTGTTCTTTTGTTTCTTTACACTGTACAGCAAGCACAAAACACAATGTCCAGCGCAGCTAAACGACTAATTCCCTTGCTCGACCGTGTTCTCATCAAGAGAGCTGAAGCCGTAACCAAGACCGCTGGCGGCATCGTGATCCCGGAGAAGGCTCAGTCTAAGGTCCTACACGGCGAGGTTATCGCCGTTGGTCCCGGCTCCAGAAAAGACAATGGTGAATTCATTCCAGTGCTTGTGAAGGTCGGTGACAAAGTTCTTCTTCCCGAATACGGCGGCACCAAAGTCAGCCTGGACACCGATGAGAAGGAATACCACCTCTTCAAAGAGTCTGATATACTCGCCAAAATTGAAAATTAGAATTAGTTAGATTTAAAATTTGTGGTTGATTCTGGTTCTGTTCTGTTAGTCATTTAGAATTTGTAGTGAATGAACATGTGATTGTGTAATAAGCCGGTTGCCGAAGCATTGATGTTAACGACGTTGCATTTCTAATTATAATATTGTTATAAAAACTATCTTTTATTTACTTTCTGACACTATTTCATAGTATTTTGTATCTGAAAATTTTATAGGTTATGTTGCATCACTGTCTACTTAGAACAGTAGGTAGGTAGGTTATAGTGAACCATTTAGTATGTGCCACTTATCTCAGTAATGAGATTTTAATAATCACTATTGTTTACCTGATAATAACCAAAACAACTAGGTTGTGTTGTTAATAACTCCCATAGTGGAGATTTTCTAAGAAAATCGTAGTGAAACTCAAATAATACGAATGAATTTGTTTAAGCATTACCTATATTTTGTACAAAAATGCAACAAACAGTATTTCACAGTTTGATATCACATGATTTCAGATGCTTACTGATAAAATCAAGATTCAATTGCAGTTCCAATTAGGCTTACATTTAAAATAGTGATTAAAAGAAAATACATTTCATGAGAAAACTTAACTTGCTTTAATTATAGCCCTAAATTAATATAATATTTACAAAATTAAAAACACCTCTAGGACAATGATTGATATAATGTACAGAAAAAGCTTTGTTTCAGTATTGCCCCAGTAAATAGCAACGCTTGTGCATTTTCTGAGACTGATGAGAACACTATTCATTACACATAAAATATTTAAATTCTGTAATAAACTAACATCAGTATTTCTTATCATTTATAATACTGTTGTGGGCTGACTTTCAAATACTTTGAACAATAAAATAATAATGAAATGATAAAGTTACACAAGCACAATAACATAATTTGTGTGATCATAATCCTGAATCTTATTGTTAGTGGAATGCTGTTTATGCTGTTCCTACCTAGCAACCTAAAAAATTGAACCTGTTTGTTTAATGACATGACACCTAAAGCCAAAATACTTGCACAACAACCTGCTACAAATGTAATACTTACTAATTTATGTGCATATAAAATTAGTAGGTACCTACCTAATAATTTTTTCAGGATAAAAGTAGGTCAAGCAAAAAGTTGAAAAGCATTATATTAATTAGTACATTTCTTTTTCAAACCACCTAGAAAAGCATTATATTAATTAGTACATTTCTTTTTCAAACCACCTAGAAATAATTTTAAGCATGAAAATATTTAAAATTAAATAAGCTTGATATAACTTATTATTTGAAGTTTTTAAAAGTCAATGCCTTACATGATAATTATTAAACTAATCAAAATAACTTAACATTTAATAAAGGTACACAATAATGGCATATAGCTTAAATCACTGTAGAGATATGGCAGTACGCCTCACTGCAGCTGACAACGCTGGGTTAGGGTCTGGTGGTTCAGTCAGCAGAGTTACGGATATCCAGCAACCATCTTCGTTCGACTGACGCAGCGCTTCCATAGTGGCCTGTACTCTTTGCCCATCTTCAAAATTAGCTGCTGCTCTCACTGGTTCTTTTATCCAGTCCATTTGCTCTTTTACCGGCAAAAATGCCTCTTTCAGTGCACTTATCATTTTACATAGACCTTTGATGTATGGTTTAGGAACTACACTTGATGCACAGCTCAAATCTTCGACATCAACATAGATAACTTCTTCTTTTTCATGTGGCCTTTTCCCATCCTCTTCTGGGTATGCTTTTGCAGTTGTTTTATGCAATCTACCATGCAAGTCCCCACCTCTCACTACTAAATAACCATTTTTACTGCAAACATAAATTTCTTGATTAAAACAAGGGCCAGGCAAGTGATTGTTGAGTGTAGCTGTCACCAGCAGGCCTTTGTCCATTTCTAATTGGAAAGTACAAAAATCTGGAGCTGTTATTTTTCTGATGCCATTCACTTTTGGAGTTTCTTCAACAAATGTTCTCAGAACTCCATGGACTTTGACAACCTTTTGTCCAGTGAGGAAACTAACTAGATCTATTACATGACTTCCAACCAATGACAGGGTTCCACCACCCATTGTATCATCACACAACCAGTTGTATGTGTCTCCAACTAAAGGCCCCATTTGGACTCTGACATCAATGAGAGTCAATTCATCAGGATTGCCCAAATAGCCATCTTGTATACATTTCTTCATATGACTGAAGGCTGGCAAAAAACGTAGGGAGTGATTAACAATAGATATCAATGTAGGATAATACTGAGCGGCTCTGACCATTTTCAGGGCTTCTGCCTGACATAGGCCTGCAGGTTTATCACAGACGACATGTTTGCCGATTCCCAGAGCTTTAACTGATATCTGAGCGTGTAAATTGGGAGCACAGACAATGAACACTAAATTCACATTCTTCTTCAGCAATACATCGTCGATCTTGTTAGTGAAAAACGGGATTTTCAATTCCTTTGCAGCAGCTTCGGCTTCTTGCAGAGTTATGCCCCAAATTGCTTCAACAGAGAAACCTTTTTCCCTAAGGAATGGCACCAAGACTTTCGCAATGGCTCCAGTGCCGAAAACTCCTATGCCCGGAAGCATTTTGGCGTATTTATTTTTCAAATGTGAATGTAACCATGAATATTATTCGATTAATAACTTAGAAGTACGAACAATAGAAGAAGTTAAGAAGAAAAAAATAATTATGCTAAACCGACCGACTGACCCAGTAAACATCTGTTTGACATTGACAACTAGTGACATAAGACTTGACAGCTTTGACATTGACAGTACATTTTTTTTGTTGGAACGGCGTAAGGCGTGCTAAGCCAATGCATGCAAAAATCCTAATCAAATCTTTCCTTAAATTAGATTAGTATATAAAAAAAAAGCATTTTGAGATTGTAGCAAAAGCTGCAAAAGCCTAGGCGCAGACCACCGACTTTTAGTTAGCCGATAGTTGGAACGATTTCTAATTTGTATGAAGAATCGGCCGATACCAAATCGGTGTAGTGTGCGCCCAACTCAACTATCAGCTACCTATTTACTTATAACTAAAAGTCGGTGGTCTGCGTCTAGTGCTTTTTTTTAAGTCGGGAAATGCTTTGCGCATACCCACTGGACGATGCGGACGGCGACTGGGTTATGTGGGACTCTCCACGCCTACCCACTAAAGGCGGGGCCTACCCACCAAAACCTGACAGTTTCCACCAGAGCCCAAAGAAACGGAGCCGCGAGTTATTGTCCTAGTTGGACATTCGTCCGCAGCTCCGCGTCAGGCTCGCTCTTGAGCGAGCCTCTCCGGCTTCGAGGGAACCCCCAATCCCCTCCTCCAGTTGTTTTTTATAGATAAGTAGAGGTTTTCTCCTGTCTGCGCCTAGTGCCTAGGCTAAGTTGTAGATGCATCAAACAATTGAAAATATCGAATAGAACCAGTTAACGTCGTAAGTAAAATTTTTACTCATTGTCTAGTCCAGTCAATGAATGCCTTAACGACGGTGTAGAGAGAAATCCGTGGAACACAATTTCTGACCTCGGGACTTTATTTAGCCTAGTTAGGTGGTGAACATAGCAAAAGTCCCCGCCCTTAGCCCTTGAGCCGGCGGGGAGAGGGGGGTTTAAAGGTACCACTTTTCGGTTTTTCGCTTAATCCTCGGAAACTATGCGTCCTAGTGACATGACTACTATGAACCAAAAAAAGCTTATTCAATTTGTCATGTCACTAGGACGCATAGTTTCCGAGGATTAAGTGAAAAACCGAAAAGTGGCACCTTTAAACCCCCCTCTCCCCGCCGGCGCAAGGGCTAAGGGCGGGGACTTTTGCTATGTTCACCTCCTAACTTGTCAGAATAAAGTCCTGAAGTCAGTAATTGTGTTCTACAGTTTTCCATCTATAATGCTTTATTGACTGGACTAGGCGTATTTAGCGAGGGTTATTTTTCAGGGGCGATACCATGGCCTTGCAATTTACGAGTACTTACTTAGTTGTTACAGTTTGAATCGAAATGGGATTTTTAAGATAAAGAACAAACAGGTAAATAGAACACTGAACAACAATTTAAATAACTTGTTATTGGCTTTTAATTTAATTTAAATCCATGGGATGGGCTAACTCTACATTTATTATGCTTATTAAACAGGCTGAGATTTTACTTATTGTTTTTAATTAGAATATTGATTGTAGTCTGGGTGTAAATGGAACAAAGAATAATATTTGTTAAGTAAACACTAGCCCGAGTCGTAAGTCACACTCGGTGGCGCTTAAAATGAATCGCTTTTCGTCGGAACGCTTAAATTCAATGCTTTGAGATCTAACACCTGGACGTGTAGGGTTGGCACAAGCTATTTTAAAATATTTACAACAAAATCATTACTGATTCTAATTATGTAATAAGAATAGCCTACGTGATCCGAATATAATAATATGGATGATTGGCTGAAATTCAATGGTCGATTTTCAGGCCTAGGAAAATCGAGTACTGAATCATTTTCCAATCTGTTTGTCTGAAACGTCTTCGTCAAGAGTTGGATGTAGGAACATAATTATTTTGCTTAATCGATTACCTATTGTGCCCCTAATGTACCTCTAGGACTATCCTCTCTAATTTACCAGAGAAAAATACAGGATTTGCCCACTCTCAGAATGTTGGGTGGTTTTTAATGTAGACTTTAATTATGTAGGTTATTATTTGAAATTTAAAGTAACGTAAGGGATCCTCCGACTCTTTGATATAAATTTATATTAAAGAGATATTATCAAAGTGGACAGCCCTAAGTGCATCCTATTTGCAGCAATTCGGTAACTCCTCCTGTCGGCCGCACTCGCTTCCACAATTAGGGCTGGATGATCAGCACGAAAATAATGTTTCATGACTAATTTATGATTTGGAATTCATATTTAATGGCATTAAGACCAGTGTCAGAACTTATGAAGGCTACAATTGAGCTCTATATTCGTTTTTTTTAATGACAATAAAACACTAGCGGGGCTAGTGGTGTCCGACCGAAGGTACTTACCTAGTTAAAAATGAAAATCAATATAATGTTGGTTCTGGAGTGAAGGCCACATACCGGAAAACGCAGCACAAGGTGGACCGACGACCTCATAAAGGTAGCCGGATGGCGCTGGATGTAGGCCGCTACCCTACCCAGCCATGCAGGCCACAACCAACCGCGCTATATGGAAATCATTAGGGGAGGTCTATGTTCAGCTGTGGACGTCCTGTGGCTGAAATGATGATGAAGATAACGTAGACCAGAAAAGAGGCAAATATTTCGCTTTTTTTTTTCTAAAAGAAATACGTCAAAATGAGAGTGAATCAATAAAACCGCATTTCTTGTGCAATGCCGCTATGCGCAGGAGTGCGCGGCACATGTAGAGGTAAGAGGCGTCAAATAAAGTATTAGGTGTCGCGGAAGTGTGACCCGGACCTGCTGTCAAATTCGTTCGTCTTTGACGGCGCTAATTGCTCTAAGAGTTGATCTTTCGAAAATCGACTTTTTTTGTTTCAAAGCATTAAATTAGGATAGAGACAATATCGCCTGCTTTTCTGATCATATGTCCAAAATATAGAAAGATGCATCCTGCTTTACTATCGGTTCAGTGTAGTCACTATGTCGGCATCATAGTATAAGGGTTCCTGTGGGCTTCGTTGTTTTTAAAGCATGTTCGTCAAGGATTTTCAACATTTTTAGGACAATCGAGCTTTACGAGATAAGCGTTCATCATCTTTCAGCACCTAAGTAGGTATGGAAAGTTTAAAACATAAGACCGTCGGGAATAGAGATTCAATTAAATTCAATTCAATTGTGGACATATCATTTTTTAAACAAGGTAGATAGGTAAACCAAAAATGTAAGTAAGTAGAGTAGCTAGTACCTAGTTAATAGGTATGTAACAGAATCTCTATTCCTTGGCTTGCCTCACACGAAAGATTTTATCGAAAATCGGAAGTCTGAAAATGTGCTTAGTAAGTACCTATAGTTTTTTATTTATCAATTCTAAATCGACAACCTTGCCTCTAATTGTGTACATATCAATATAGCGTTCAGGCATCTCAAACACCAATTAGTGCTGAGTTATTTAAGTAAAGACTCCTTTTCATTTGCCGAGGGGTAGCACTGAAACTTCGTGAGGGTGGGGCGAGCGCTAGCGCCGCCCAACTTGCACGCCGCCCGCCTTGCGCGTGCGCACCTCAAATGTTAAAAGCCAAGTGCAAAGACAACAGCTCTCATGAATCCTTGCGGCAATTCTAAATTTAAAATGTTTAAAAATCAATAAAATGTTCTAGTGGTGTGCTTTAGTTTTAAAATTGTGTGGTGTGTGCAATAATGCCTAGGAAACGAGTTAATAAATCGCCGCCGGTGGAAAAGCGCTCGGACGACGCCGACGACGATGACTTTTTTTTCGATGATACGCAGTCCAATTCAGGTATTGTTATTTTTTTAAAACTTGTTATAAAAGTTAAAGAAAAACTTATGAGAAAATAAATTAGGAGGTTCTTATCATGCTACCCTTTTGCTATGCTTTTTTAGGCATGGCTAGTAAGTAAGAAAAGTAGTAGATTTGTTTCAAATTCAAATACTTTATTGTGATCTATTAGAATAATACCTGTGTTTATATCTACATGTAGAAAAGGAAATTTTTGTATGTAGGTAGAACCAAAATTTCATTATTTTGGCCAGAAATATTTATATTATACAAATAAGTACTCCCTCTATTCAGTGCCAGAGTTAACAATTTTGGGCTATCTTTGCAATAGGTCGAAATTCGCAAGAACCTCAACACAGAAACGCAGCCAACGCACGCGAACGGGCCAGGATGAGAGTTCTCTCAAAAGCATTTTGCAGGTTGGTGCTTTAATATGCAATTTTCCAAATATTTATTAAGTACTGCAAAGAAATAGGTATCTAAATTTTTATGCAATTGACTGACTTTGAATGTGGTTATTAAAACAAGACACTGACTGGCACTACTTAATTCACATTATTTAGCGAGTTGAATTAAAGTGTCTGAAAATCATGAATAGCACCGTCTTAACTACCACTAATCTAATAGTCCCAGATTTCCCGGTAAGAACGAAGTGTTTAAGACAGTTGATTTTGAAAAACAATTCGTTTGCGGGCTGCAGACGAACTATTTTTTTTCATAGGTAATGATCATTAGTCATCCAATTACCTACGCCTATTCAAAAATCACCCAGAGGGTGATAGTTTCAAGATGTGGTTTCAAATGTAGTCAACATTGGACCTCTATAATTTTATTAGGCTAAAGACGACTCTCCCGTGGGTGCCAGCAGACACCAAGCTGTCTAAGTTAGACACCCTACGACTGGCTGCGTCCTACATCGCGCACCTCCGCGCCTTGCTGCACGAGCCGAGATCTGCGCACACGCCACCGCACCCGCTTAGTTTGGTAAGAGGAGAGTTTATTTTGATTCTTAAGGTTATTAGGTTAAAGGCGACTCTCCCCTGGGTGCCAGCAGACACAAAGCTGTCCAAATTGGACACTCTGCGGCTGGCCGCGTCCTACATTGCCCACCTCCGCGCCTTGCTGCATGAGCCGAGATCTGCGCACACGCCACCGCACCCGCTTAGTTTGGTAAGAGGAGAGTTTATTTTGTTTCTTAAGGTTATTAGGGTAAAGAAGACTCTCTCGTGGGTGCCAGCAGACACCAAGCTGTCCAAGTTAGACACCCTACGACTGGCTGCGTCCTACATTGCCCACATTCGTGCCTTGCTGCACGAGCCGAGATCTGCGCACACGCCACCGCACTCGCTTAGTTTGGTAAGAGGGTAGAGTTTGTTTGTTTCTTAAGGTTATTAGGGTAAAGACGACTCTTCCCTGGGTGCCAGCAGACACCTTGCTGTCCAAATTGGACACGCTGCGGCTGGCCGCGCCTTGCTGCACGAGCCGAGGATCTGCGCACACGCCACCGCACCCGCTCAGTTAGGTAAGACGAGGTTGGAGTTTGTTCCTCAAGGAAACAACGAAACTCTACATTGGTATGTTCATCTATACTAATATTATAAAACTGAAGGTTTGTTTGTTTGTTTACTTGAACGCGCTAATCTCAGAAACTACTGGTCCGATTTGAAAAATTCTTTCAGTGTTAGAAAGTTCATTTATCGAGGAAGGCTATAAACCATCACGATACGAGTAATAGAAGCAGAGCTACAATGAAAAATGATACAAAAACGGGTTTTCACGCGTACGAAGTCACGGGCACAGCTAGTATGTGATATTAGGACAAAATAGCGGAGATACTCACACTGTGTCTCATTACAAACGTCGCGGGGTCGCATATAAATTATTATGGTACTTTCCTCATATTTACAAATTACATTAATTTTGAATGCCCGTAAACTAGATTATGTAGAGACGACGGCACATCAACTATCGCAGCTTTTGTTTATAATAGCAAATAGGTGCAATTTTGCAACGTAAATGTCTAGTCAGATGTGCTATCTACCTTCCAATTATCACTTTAATAATCATGCTTTTCGCCTACTCTACTTCACAGAAGTCACAAAAAAGAGCGTTTAGTAAATCAACGGTAACCACAAAAGCTGTCATCGCTCGTTAGTTTCTAACAAGGCGAGTTGAACCCGCCCATATGTCACCCGGGACACTCGGATCACATAATTGTTCGCAATAAATTTCCTGTCACACTTGTCACCCGCCTAATTCTTTCCGTCGGCACGAGCTAACCGCAATCCCGGGAGAAAGTTATTTGTTTTTCGGTTGTTTAACTTTGTGAGACTCTGTGATTAACAGGATTTAATGGCTGACAGATTTTTGTGTGCGTTCATCTAGGTAGTTATTATAATTAAAATGTATTTTTAGGTACAAATAAGTTACAAGAAAATCTGTTCTCAATTATTTCGTTTCGTAGTCAGATTGCTACGAAGTTGCTACGAACATTTTAATAAAAAATGTTTTAATTTGCTACAAGAAACAATGAATAAGTAATTTTAATTATTAGTACTGTTAACTGACTGGTTTTAAGTAGTTAATTTGTTTTACTAGTGGGTTCACCACAAAAGTACAGCAGCGGCGGTGTTCGAAGTTTCAAACCGTTCTTTCCAATTGGATCTCGATTCGGCCAGTTCAGACCAGTTAGGTACCTGAAGTACTTCTAATCTATCAAAGATCGGAGTTTCTGGCTCAGAGATGTCGGTCATCATCGCGAATATTAGTTTGCTACGAAAACTCCAAGAAATCCTTATACGTTTGCGTATAGTGCAATATTTTAATAACCAAAGGATTTTTTGTCACAGACACAAATTAATCACTGTACAGACGCGGGATTCGGGCACGTTCCACGAAGGTCCCGCGTGATCGATGTGGGGATTAAGTTACTTTCGTGTGTTTAACTTAAACGGACCGTTTAGAATTTAAGAGCCCAGTCACAAATGCTTTCGATTTAGTTTCAGGATATTGTGATTTTGTAAACTTTAATTATATTAGTTTTTTTCATTTATTTTCATTTTACAAAGGAAGTTCTTAATTAAATTAATTACTAGGTTAACCTTACGAAAAGAAAACTAATTTATAAACGACTGCTTTTCTTTGCTTAATGTTGCTATTAGTACTCTGGTGATGTTACTTTTCTAAAACTTAGAAGAAGCCAAATGTCGTTCTTCATATTATCAAAGTATCAAACAAGAACGCTACGTCATAAGTAGTACATAATATACCTAATTTATTTTTCGTCAACTTGTGTGTTCCACTTCGAAAAAATATTAAAAATTTGCTTCACCTAAAAAATAAGAGTCTCTTCCGACCATTTTAAAACATAAACAAAGTCAAAAAGTTGGAGATAGGAACAAAAAGGTTACAACAACAAACACGTCTGCGCCCGCGCTGACCAAAAGTTTGCAGCTGTTCTGGGTATAAATAAAGTTTATCTCCGGACGTTAAAGATGTATTGTGCTGTTTTATTGTTGCCCTGGATGGTTCTTTGTCTTTGAATTTGACGATATTTCCATTTAATTACGGAGTTAAGGATAATTGAGATGCATTCGACTTGGATACTCCCTCGATGTAATAAAATGATCAAGGTTACAGTAACGAATTGAGATTTACACAATCATGTTAATGTTATAGCTATGTTCATAATTAATATCTTTAGAAAAACATCAAATGTTACCTGAAGAAAAGAAGAACTAATTAAGTAATTGAGGAATTGAGGAGGTCATAAAAGTCAAAGTAAGCGACGACGCGCTGTCATGATTAGTTAGCAAGCTGTAGTTAATGTTTACTATTATTATCAAGTAGGTACTTATCAATGTATTCTGAGATGAATTTTCAGTAGAATAATTGAAAGAGATAGACTTACATAAATTATGTATTACAGCGTGTAAATGAATTTTATGAATTTTAATTTTATTTTAGCAGCTGTCGAATGTTGATTGATATTTGATACTACGAATATCTACGTAGCTACGAAATGCTACGAAGTTGTATACTTTCTTTTTTCTTTTCATTTAATTAATTTAACGTAGCAATAATTTAGTAAATCCGTCTGTTGGATTCTTTATAATATTGAGTGTTTTTAATTTAATAGCGACCCCAAAAGCGGACATGACGTGTTCACCAGTGACCCAAAGACCAAGATGTTTGTTTGGACATAAAAAGTGCGGTTGTGTTGTGATGCAATAAATTTGGTGTTCACACTTGAATCTTTGTTTACTATCTGGGAGGTCTTGGCCTATGAACCCTTTTTCAATAATCGCTTTGAATTTTCAACTTTACATTACACGATTTTGGGGTTGCTATAATTCTTAGATATCTTTCATTTGTTTTGAGCTTCAATCGTTTTCATTTAGATAAATAACGGAACTTTTCCCACCTCTCGCTCCCATCACTGCAACTCCTGTGTAGCGAAGAAGGAATCTAATCAGAGCTTGCCCGTGAAAAGTAACCCAAGCTTGTCTCGGGGAGAGTTAAACTGCCGTTGAACTCTACATCTAGGTAAATACTAATTAGAATATTTATATTTTTCAGGCATGGCCGTTTGCGTTCCAACATGGCGGGTCGCTCAGCTGTTCCATATCTCAGCGATGGAATATTAACTCCCAGAGCAACGAGTCAACCAACTCCCGCGCAGCTACCGTAAGGAACGATGCGCAGAACAGTTGCCATGACAACTACAACCAGGAATACTCTGAAAACGACTATGAGCATCGGTGCTACGACGATACAGCGAACGAAGCAGCCAACGCGCCTATGCAGTACTGCGAATACGGATACAAAGATAGTTATTACGAAATGAGGTCGTATTCTTCTGAAAACTTAATGAATAATGTATGAAAATATTAGATAATTGAGACTTTTGAATGAAACGTCTGGAAATGAAATGGAACCTCCAAATTATACAGATTTATTTACTAACAGCGTTTTGATTCTGGTGATATCAATAAATTCTTTTTGGGCAGTAAAAAACTATGGAAATCATTGTGGGAGGCCTATGTTCAGCAGTAGACGTCCTATGGCTAAAACGATTATGTGGAAATTGCTAGTGGAAATCGCACTGAAAATTAGTTTACCATATCCTAAGATTAATTCTTACAGCTAGAAAATAGCCAACTTTTACTGAAAACGTAACAAAAAGAGAGACTGAGTCAACTTTCCCTTATATGTAGAAGCCGTCCAGTGCCGTTATATTAACTTCCAATTCTTAATATCCACTGTTAATCCACTGTTGGTTAAATTACTTATTACTGTATTTTTCCATAAATCCAATACTGCACACATAATTACGTGAAGCACGGGAATGTGACGTGTTCGGTAACCGGATCCCGGACAAAGTGGATGTCAAGCCATGTCGCTGGGATCTGACAAAACAAACAGGAATAGGCGGGAAAAAACAACTCAAAGCGACGGAAACTGAAGTGCATTTGTAAACCACTTACGTGGCTTACGAAATTACGAATATAGAGACAAAAATACTTAGGTAACTGGGGGATATTTTTTTGGTGAAGAGAAATAAATATTGAATATAATTTAGGTAATTAATGTAGTAGAAACATGCATAGTTTGATTTTATATACGAATAAGTCATATTACCAGGCCTCCGTCACTCGCCTATGCCGGCCGAGATAATTACCTACAGCGCGCGACAACTTCAAGTTGCAAATCAGTCAGGACCGCCACGCGCCTGTGAGCACACGCGTATTTCTTATACACGCTCGGTCGATCATCGTCACAATCAAGGTTTATTGTTCCAACAGCACTGTTATCCTTCTTTAATGTAAAATCGTAGTATTTAGGAATAATAATTAACTGTATATTTGAATAATTAAAAAAACTAGGTACACTTTTTAAATAATTTTGAAATACTTATGACAAAACTTTTAATGGTGCAAGCATACTATTTGGAAGCCTTGGCGAAGGGTGACAAATTTGATCATCTGTATTTTTAACAGGAAACTCAAATACTCCCGGCAACCTACCTACCCCTTCAAAAACTTCTATATTTTCCTTAATAAATTTCTCTTTATCTTTATTTATTTCCACATTATTTATGCGCTTAATTAAATTTAAAGCTATGCATCCTGATAATCCCAACAACACATTACTACAATCCAGTACTATAAAATTCTCATAACACTCAAAATTTTTAAATTTGCATCGTAAACTTATCATCCCTTTAGGTTTTACCTTTTCACCAGCAAAAGATTCAATTTTCAAATTACATTCCCTTAACTTTAAATTTAAATTTGTATTTATTCTATTAAAAACTTTAATTGGCATGACACTCACATCTGCTCCCGAGTCCAGCTTACATTGAACACTATGTCCCTCAATTTCTATATTTTCAGACCAGGCCTTCTTTTCACCACATTTTGACTGAACAGCTCTACAATACGCACCTTCATCCGAATCAGACTCCTCACATTTGACTTCCTGTACCTTTTTCTTAACTCTGCAACTGGCTGCAAAATGGTTCTCCAGCCCACATTTGTTACATTTTTTTCCAAAAGCAGGGCATGCACGTGGTCCATGTCTTGTCTGGCAGCGTCTGCAGCTAAACTCCTTATATTTTACACCTTGTTGGTCCCTTACTTTTCTGGATTTTATTGTATCCACTAGTAAGGTGGGGTTCATTTCCTTTACTTGTAGTTTGCTCATTTCACTTGTTCGGCACATGTTTGCAGCTTTATCCAACGTCAAGTCCTCACATCTTAACATACTTTCCTGTAGGCTGTGATCCTGGATCCCTTGTACAATCCTATCTCGCAATAATTGATCTTCTGTAGATTCTAAACATTTGTCATTATATCCACACTTGCCTATTAATTCCCTCAGGCTAGTATAAAATGATTCAAATGATTCTCCAACTTCCTGTTTTCTTTCATTGAATTTAAATCGCTCAAATACCGGATTACTTTTGGGATTCACATATTTGTCGATTTCAGACACAATTTTGTCGTAACTTCGTCTCTCCTCGTCCGATAATTTAAAGGTTAGGATGACTTTGGTAGACTCCGGACCCATCATGTTTCGCAACAATGACAGTTTAATTTTGTCTGAAGCTCCATCTTGATTAGTTGCTATCAGATAGTCCTCGAACAAACATTTCCAATAGTTCCAATCATTAGCTGATTGCGAAGAGCGAATGTCGAAATTTGGAGGCAATTTCACTGACGCCGACGACGACTCCATGATATTTAACAGGACACTTTCAGTAGAAAACAATATTTTCGCATCCAATCACACTTTAGGATCGTTTCACAACGGCTGCGCCATGTTTTAATATTGAAAACTCTCAGAAATTAACAACACATTTTTATTGTAAAAAAATCAAACATGAACAAACATGAATGACAGATGACATTGACATTCAGTTCCGAAACCATAAATAAAACAGATCGATCGCGACAACATGGTGAGGACTTGCAAAACAAATGACGACAGTTATCATACTATGTAGACTAAGTCTTCCATCCCCCCACGGGAGCAGGTGGCGAGAAAGCCAGTACCTACAGCCGCAGTGTCGAGAAACAGTGGTGAGCACTTGTAGCCAAAACATTCCATTGAGTTGTGGTACAGTTACACAATGAAGTTTTCCATCCTCGTTGTAATCAAGTCTTCCATTTTCCCACGGGAGCAGGCGGCGAGGAAGCCAGTACCTTCAGCTGCGGTGTCGAGAAAGAACCAGCAGCGGCAGATCGATCGCGACAACATGGTGAGGACTTGCAGCAAAAACAAATGACGGCCTTTAAATTATCGTAGGCACTATGTAGGTGAAGTCTTCCATCCCCCCACTCGAGCAGGCGGCGAGGAAGCCAGTACCTTCAGCTGCGGTGTCGAGAAAGAACCAGCAGCGGCAGATCGATCGCGACAACATGGTGAGGACTTGCAGCCAAAATATTGACCATTGAGTTGTGGTACAGTTAATGAAGTCTTCCATTCTCGTCGTAATCAAGTCTTCCATCCCCCCACGGGAGCAGGCNAATAATTAACTGTATATTTGAATAATTAAAAAAACTAGGTACACTTTTTAAATAATTTTGAAATACTTATGACAAAAAACTGTAGCAAAAAAATTATTTTAGCTAATATAAACATTAACTTACTTCACCGTGTCTATTTTCCGACACTACACCTTTTAAAACTATTTGTCCAATTTCGAATTATTGCAACACTGAAGTTTATTAATAGGTAGGTACTTTAGAGATGGTACGATTATACAAACACCACTAGATTAAAGATTACCAATCGTAAATACAATAAATGCTTCTTAAAATTAAGTTATTATTTATTTTACTTTGCTTATACAACCCTGACGCTTGAGCTGCGAGGTAGATTAATTCTGAACACAAAAAATTTGCGCTCTTGTGAGCGTAGTAGTAAGGTGCGATTTCGAATGCACCATGTGCGTTGGATATTTTGCATTATTATTATTACCGTTAAAATGTCGGCATCTGATCCTACACAAAGGAGTGCAATTTCTGTTGCTACTATTATGTATTCTGTGATATTACTAGCAAGTGACCTGAAAAATAAATAGTTGGGTGTGTGTAATTTATTTTAAAAGAAAATACATTGTGTAGCGGTGAAAAGTTTATTATTTTATAAGAACGTATTATGTCAGAACACACTACATCGTATTATTTCGATTATTTACAACAAATCATAAAATAAAAGTAAGCGAGGCATATTTTGGTAGAAATTATAAATAAAATTTCCGAACTAACTTATTCTACGCTAAAACAATCGTGCAGTATCGTAACTATTGTTCTTACAAATGAATAGTATGGTTACAATAGTGGCAGTACCTACCTAAAAATCTATTCAATACAAAGCTAAATAAATTGTACATTATCTAGGAAACATTACATTGCTTTTTGTGGCAATTCATTCGACTAAATTACATTTTCTTACTTTATCTGCTGATTCGCACCAGTCCTCATTTCCAAACACTCCTTTGGTGAATTTCCTAACTTTTCCTCCTAACATAAATACATCAAAACGCTTGGTCATAAAATATTGTTGATATTTTGGACTTATCATGGGTACACGACAACTTGACAACGCGTTTCAATTATTGGGTAGTTGATACTGGTTGATACCATCAATCAATTTTAATTCTTTTCATGAACTGACAGCAATACAATGACGTCACTTGTGTACAAACAATTGACTACTGATTCGAAAAATAAAAATCTAATTTTACAGTAAATTAAAAGCTAACTCAGGGGAGTTCAAGGTTGAAATAATGTTGTTGTTTTAAAAGAAAGGAGAGCCGGAAGAATGGTATCAACTAGCCAATAATTGGTAGAATTTAATCTAGTCAAAAATTCAAATACTCTCAATCATCACTACACTAGATGAATTATATTCATGCCCTTAACATATTCTTAACAAGCAACTTGCTTTAGTCCTGTATCATAGTGTCCCGATATAGTATACATTATAATAAAATATTACCTAATTCTACCATGTTTTTGGTAGGCTCCTAGCTTTTGCGTATGCATTTACACACCTACATTATACTAAGAATGTTTTACTGTGTTAAAATATGTGAATACGAGTACTTTGATATAAGATATTGCATATGATTATATTTTATGTACATGAATAATTGGTTTACTGTAAACGCAGATTTCCATTTATTATGAATCTTTCAAAGTAAGAAGACTCAAAAAATTAAAACTGTCCTACAAAACGTATTATTGTTTAAAAATGGATTTGGCAAATAAAGACAGATTTTACTAAAATTATCTAAATATGTCCATAAAAAATTGGACAGTTTGAATAATACTACGCCATAAAATAAATAAATACTTAAAGACCTTTTATTTATCTAAGACTAAACTTTCCAAAATAAATAAACAGTGGGCTATCTTACTTAGGTATCTATCGGTTTTAATTAGTATAATGACGTTTAATTATACCAGTCGTACACTATCAACTATGCATGAGCTATAATCTGAAGCCCGTATTCACAAACGATGCTTGCTTAAGTGAAGCCGAAAATGGAACGCACAGCGTTGAATAGAGCTCTGTGATTGGTTCATGTGTCACCCTGTGCGTCCACGCGCACTGTGAGACCTCATAGTAATGTTTGTGAATACAGGCGTGAGTCTGGTATTATGATAGAGCAAAACTAGATTCAAACTGAATCATAGACTAACGATTGTGACTTGTATTTCAATATTTAGATCAATCATAAGTTGAATACAGGATTGTATGTAAACGAGGTGTGGATGAGACTTGCTTGCATCCTTCAAAGGACCTTTATTGGGCACGTCTGATCAAAGATAAAATACTTTGCCGACAAAATAAACAAATGAATGTATTAATGTCGAATAATGTCAAAATGCATTATAATTATTCTCGCAAAAAGTAAAAGTTTTTCACACAGATTACATACATTTGAAATACGTATTTTAATAGTTTATTAGATTTCACGTTTTTAAAATTTGTATTTTAATAACAAATATACAGATACGAGTAAGTTGTCTATCATTCAGGATACCTATTCATTCGGCCGACCAAAGTCTTTAAGATATGAAAGGAAATGTAGAGTCACGAACGCTCAACTGGTTAAATAAGCTATTCATCTATCAATATTAATTGTGATGATGCCTTGTGAACTCTTCATAACTAACAAGGTAAATTAACACTTTAAAGCCCATGTTCCAGAGTATTCTACAACTAAACACTATTTTTATAGTGCACTCTACTACGTTATTGCATTGCTATTTGCATATTATTTAGTTATTACATAACGTATTTAACTAATCCCAACTTCCCAACTATCCCAACTAATATCCCAACTATCCCAACTAATATTATAAATGCGAAAGTAACTCTGTCTGTCTGTCTGTCTGTTACGCTTTCCCGCTTAAACCTCGCAACCGATTTTGATGAAATTTGGCATAGAGATAGTTTGAGTCCCGGGAAAGAACATAGGATAGTTTTTATCCCGGTTTTTGAAATAGGGACGCGCGCGATAAAGTTTTTCTGTGACAGACAAAATTCCACGCGGGCGAAGCCGCGGGCGGAAAGCTAGTTAAAACTAAACGCCTTTTTTTTAAACTTGGAAGATAACTAGACCTTTTTTATCGGCAATGGTACAGATTATACTATCATTGTTAAGTTGTATCGTGCCCTATATACGTCATGTTAGCTTTGTGAATGTATGTATGTTTATTTAGGTTTATTGAATAACAAGCATGTTTTTCATACATCATTCATAACATGCCTTATTTTAAAAACTTATACATCACTACAACCTATTCTATGGACTGAGCCAAAATAAATATCTACTTATGAATTTGACATTGGGCCAACTATGATCGTATAAACTGGATATAGCTAATATTAATTATTAATACAGGATTTGTTATTTCAAGTAACTATAATAAGGTCTATTATGTTATTAATATTATTTTTATAAGTTATTAATTTGTGTACCTATGTTTTTGGTGGAGTGCTTTTGTATGAAAAATGAGAGAGAGCAAAAATTGTGATTCGAATTAACTATTTGGTAGAAGTAATAAAATTATCAGTAAAATAAATAACAAGATGAGCAATATTTTTAGCCAGGTAAGAACACACATAAAATCCACATAATCATAATTCACCACTACGTTTGAAGAAAATTTGTAATTTATTATAATTTTATGTAGATTAATATTTTTTTTATTGATTTTTCGATAATGATCTAAAAAATTAATTTTTTTTTCAAATGTAGTCATATTCTACATAATATTTGTCTTTAAATAATTAACTAATTACGATGCGATTATTAAAAAAAAAGGTATAGTACTCTACTGGTCATCTTGTAGTCTAATATGTGATATAAATGATGATAGAATGTAGTTATGTATTATTTTAAACGATATTATCATTATTTAATAAAGGAGAACAGGCAAACCTGCATGGAAGACGGTTCTGACTTTAACTAGAAAGTGAAAAGACATTTAAATAAAGGGAAAGTTGCAAATAAAATAAACCAAGGCATTCAATCCACAGCCAAAAATTATCCATCTGAAAATTAAAAATCTAAAATGAAGTCTGTAAAGGTAACCGTCGAATATTCCAAATCTAATGCAAAAACCATAAAAATAAAGACTATTGTTGCCTGTTATCCTTTCCATCAATATTATCAAAACGTCTAAATTCTATGCTACGAATTACGATTTTATCTTTATTATTTATAATGATATAATTTGTGCGTCCAGCCATTTTGTTTTTTCCAACTCGTCACGCGTTAAAATTACATTTAATAAACTTAAAAATAATCGACATAATTTAACACATAATCGTTTCAGTTCCGTCACTGTACCTAAAATATATAAAATAATTTAAACTTATTAGCAAAACATATTATCATCAGTTTTAATAAAAATACATTTGATTACGTTAACGTATCGATACGAACATAATCGAACAAAAATTGCTTTAAAATATTTACATCGTCGCGTCCATCGTACGAGTACTACGAGTACAGTTCGACGAGATTAACTTTATACCTTAATGTATATGTTAATTACTTTGCAGTCCTTGAAATTAATTCTAGAAACAATACATGCGTTTCATCTTACAGCCTAGGCGTAAGACAAGACAGTGCAACTACCTGCCGGAGAATATGTTGATGGAGTTCGACGTTGTCCTTTTGCGAACGAGTATGGCCTCAACTGAAAAAAAAACAAACGTATTATTTGTAGCGAACTGTCCTTACAACTCTACATTCTTTTACAGGCCGAATTTTTCAAGTTAACCACTTTAGCGATAGTGGCCGAATTTTTGCCACCATATTTTGAACTTTATTGAGATGACCAACCAATGAAAAATATTTTTCTCTATACCAGTTAAAGGGCAAATCCCTATCTTTAATGGATAGATTTTGGTTGTAAAAAATTTTCGAAACAAAGTTACCTACATAAAAACGTTATTAGATTTTTGCAAAACAATTTTTCCAGTCCAGCAGGAAAGGATGGTTCCTTCCAAATCCAAAGATGGAATTGTCAAAAATTTCACCAACCTCAACTCTGTACTACACAGGGGTGGCCAGCCACATAATCTCACATTGAAATTCAACTGTCAATAGTGTCGCCTAAGGCCTAAGGGATAAGCAGAACCGAATGGGTGGAAATTACAAAATACTATTTTATTCTTCTAACATTAAATTACCTATACTACTAATTAATTCTTGACACATATTCACCCCATAAACGTTTCGCGGGCGTCATTATCGGTCGCACAGAGAAATTGGTCATGTAACTAACATGTTGTTTACCTTTAACACATGTGTAACTTTCCACCACGTTAGTGCGTTATCGGTAAAATTCATGTTCAGATGACGTCGGTCAAAGCCAGCAGAACGCACCGACGTCGTCACGGACGTCATTTTAGGTAGGTCAGGGGAATTGGTCATGTTGTTGATTTCAAGTGCAAGTAGGTATTTAGGTATTTCGAGCGATAGCTGAACTCGGAGGTTTGAACTCAACATATAGGCTTATTGTTCGACAGAATCGTTAAGATATTGTTCCACCAGTCTATCAGCTTTGACTTACAGGTATGAACCCGTAGCTTTGATAAAGTCGTATGGGACTGTGACCTGTATCTATGTATTTTGGGCTTGCCTAACCTGTCTTTGGTCGACAGCTCTCAATTTGTGGCCTATAGTACATAAGTGTAGTAAAAGTCGTATGGTCCTACTGCCTCTAGATTATGTGACTTTTGTTAGTGATTAAAATTTTATAAAATGCCCTTTCTGTCCTGGTAGTCACTAGGCGTAAGGAAACCGTGCGACTTGTACCCATAGGAAAAATAGAGTTTAACTACTTAGAGTCCTGAAGCGTGAGCGGCCTTGATGGTCTGCTGTATGACTGCGAGCCAGCCTGCCCGGTCTTCGTGCGTGGTGGCTGCGAGGCAGTACGTCCTATCAGAAGTCACCAGGTGGATCTATAGGACGGTTCTATGTAAAATGGACCTTAAGAACTTACTGTTGGAGTCCTGAGGCGTGAGCAGCCTCTTGATGGTCTGCTGTATGACAGCGAGCCAGCCTGCCCGGTCTTCGTGTGTGGTGGCCGCGAGGCAGTACGTCCTATCAGGAGTTACCAGGTGTACCCACAAGACGGTTCAATATAAAATGGACTTTAAGAACTTACTGTTAGAGTCCTGAGGCGTGAGCGGCCTCTTGATGGTCTGCTGTATGACAGCGAGCCAGCCTGCCCGGTCTTCGTGGGTGGTGGCCGCGAGACAGTACGTCCTATCAGGAGTCACCAGGTGGAAGGGAAACCGGGCTTCTTTGCACCCGTTGCCAGTGTTCGACACTTTGATGCAGTAACCATTTGATTCATGGCCTGAAACAAAAAAAATATTTTTATTTTTATTTCTTTCCTTGTAATTCTAACATTCTTTAGGTATTGGTTGGTAAGAATAAGGCATTAAATTCGCCTTTTGTACTGCTTTTTTGTGTGTGCAATAAAGTTTTTAAATAAATAAATAAAATAAACACCACTACAATTAAATACACGAAGAAATTCGTTTCAGTTTGTTTCCGGTTAGGTAAGGATAAAATAATTAAATTGACTATAGTAATTCTGATTGCTCTGTTTTATAATGAAATTAAGAATAATTATTAAATTCTATTTATAATAATTCTAATTACAATGGGTTATAATTATCTGTCACCTACTTGAGTAAAAATAAATGTTAATGACGCAGTTAGCGCACTAACCGCAATATTAGGTGAGTGCTTTCATAATTTCCTGGAACTCGAAATAAGGGGGATAATTTCTAAAATAAGTTTACTTATCAAGCTTTCCTGGCGAATTTAGGTATAAAAGGTATGTTGAATCACTCGCGTAAAGCAAAAATACTGTCCGGACATGCCAATGCTTAATATAGCATCATCTTCAAGTCTGCGGGAGTATATTATTATTGAAAATATCAGGTGACGATCTTAGTCGTCTTTAAAGCTAATTTTATTTAGTAATCGTTTTTATGCATTTTCTATGCACATAAAAGTTGGTTTAGTGGGGCAGATGGAACACTATCCACAATTCCATGAAGTAACTCATAAAAATGTCGAATTTCAATTATCCTTCCCTCCTAATCATCACGTTTTTGTTATGCTTTTCGATATTTTATCAGATAGTTCACCTTAAACAGCCAGTAAACCTAACCTAACCTACCTAACATATACTTATTATAACACAACATTGGAATCTCCAAAACGGCATCCGAAAAACATGGGCAAGACAATATTTCAATGCAAAATAATCTTACCGACAAATATTTCTCCTTTCGGATACGCGTCCAATGGCTCATCGTGGTACATCAGCTTTCTGTTGTCGAGTGTGAACCACCTTCTCCTGTGAGCGTCTGTGAGTTTGGGTCCTGTCTTCCAAAGCCAGCCCTCGCGTGCGAAGTCTTTCGGTAGGCGGAGGACCAGGTCTGATTGGGGGGTTGAAGGAAACGCCACTTGGAGGAGGTGTAGTTGGGCGCAGCGGATCGCTGTGTACCTGAAAGATGATTGAGGGTTAGCTATTACAAATGCCAAAGTTGTCATAGTACTTTGAACTTTATGAGCCTTCTGCTAAAGAGTAATTTGTAGTGCACAACTAACATTTTCATTAACCTATCTAGCTAAGAGTAGGTTCACTACAATGTAACCGCGATCGACGGGGATCGAACTACCGTACCTACCGTTGATTAATTGACTTTACAGTCAGAAGTCGAACGTACAGTTATTGTCACCTCAAATACAACCTTAATTTTATGAAAGCGATGAAACGTGAAACAAACTATAAAGTACCTACTTTTTTTCTGAAAACACCCTTAAACAAACTCAAGTTTCTATCTGGCCATCTGACGAAGGGTAAACGTATGAATCTATAGTCAAAGAATACTTTAAATCCTATCGCGCTGCGCGCAGTTATTATTTAAGTGCTAAAACGCTACTAGGTATTAATGCAATTACCAATTGTTAATAACTTCTGGCTCCTCATGGTACACATAGATGTGTCGTGTGGAGCCATCCTTCATAAACGTGAGCTGCATAGAGTTCATGTGACCTATCTTCGACGGCGCAAAGCAGACATTCAGTTCCGAAAGCTTCAGGATGCCCTTTGGTTCTTTGTTTTCACGAACGTGGTACCTGGAGATAACGGAAAAACATATTAATATATATTTACATGAATTTCTTATAATCTACGCAGATCGTCTTCTCTACAGCGTAGCAAAGCTGTAAAGATTAAAAGGACAGACTTGCGTGTGGTTCCATTCGATAGACATTTTATGGAGCACTTTCCCCCTAATTAAGGAAAAACAATCACCATCATATAAATACCTACTCCAAATATATCCTGAAACATTCATATTAGTTGACAAAAGCAGGACAATGCAATGAGGTGCGATGATAATGTGGCATGATTAATTAAGTACAAAAAGGGTTAAATTACTCGCAATTTTTCGCCGTGTTTCCGTAAGTCGTGACGTCACCGAGGTAATCGTCACGTGGATCATTCGAATGTCGTTCTTACCTCCATCGACCAATGTTTTTGACACGGAGACGATCGAATAACCGATCGAGACAACTCGCGGCACGGCCGCAGCCGTCGGAAGCTTGGTGATACCTAAGAACCAGTCCGGATATGTTTAGGCGAAGCACAGAAATGCGATTTGATCATGCTTACAGTTAATTCAATGTACCTTCAATCAAAATTGCTTAATTAATAAAGAACATTCTTAAATACGTCAAAACCTGCATCCGCATTGCAGAGGTTCATACGAAGGGTGTAGACCTCGATGCATCTAACCGGGACATCCAAGTCCATATTTGTTTATAATTAGATGCGGATTACGTCAGTGTGGGTAAGGTCTGATCGGTTTTCCTGTTTTGTACAACTGTGTAATTTTATTATGATGATAAACACACAGTAACAACTCGGAATGCCTACTCCTAACACCAATTAAGTAACTAAACACAATCCAACAACTATTTGTATGTTGTTTTTAAATGTCTCTTTCCGAAGTGTACTTTCAAAACAAGTGACGAAGAGTAAATAATGCTGATGAAATGTAACGTAAATAGATTAGTTATTTTTAAACACGGAATATGCAACAAAATATTGTTTTCATTTTGCAACATTCCGCAGGTATTGCGTAATAAAAAATCCAGTATAAGACTATAAGAGTAATTGTGGAAATTAGAACAGATTTGCGAAAACAAGTACAAGTCACCGTCGGCAAATTTTCGTTACGTGGTCGTTGTAGATAGGTAGGTATGATACGACAATATTTGCTCAAGCCGCTTGACGTACGCGCAAGAAGAGGTGTGGAACTTTTAAGTCTACGTCATAAGTTTACCCACTTGTCACGAATCCGAATTTATCACGTTATCGCACACGTATCACGAAATTCGCGCTTATCAAAACTCTACGTTACTACAATTGACTTTTCCCGGCGATTTCATCAGCCACTGATTTAGATAGAGTTGTTTTTATATCATTAAGTATATAGTTCTTTTCAAAACGTTTTTATGCTACGGCTTTATATCTTGTAGCTACGTTAATTAAAACCTTAAACGCGTGTTTTACACAATTGGCAATATTCTTTTATAGTCATCATGAGTTGTTTGTTATACAAGTAATGCCAAGGTGTATTTCCTACGTGTCATAAATTGTATTTATGAAGGAAACATACGCCTAATGAGTGACTCTTTAAAGTGAATATTTTATTTCAGAGACCGTTTCATGGTTTCTAATCATTTAGGTACAATTTCAAATGCGTAATGAATGTACTGGATGAGTTATGGACAGCTGATTTGAGAAATAGCACATAGAGACATTTAAAGCATTCACGTGTTATATTGTATGAACAATCATGTTAGTTATTTAAAAGCGTTGCTATGAATTTGGAAGCAGCTTGAGAAAAGTTTACTATTATGATATTTCCTAAAATATTGTCTCCTCTAAAGCCCTTTTAAAATACTGAATTTTAAAGTATGTAAGTACCTATATTATTTTACAAAAAAACAAAAGTAATAATGGAATTAATTACCAAATAAACAGGGCGAATAGAGCAAACATTATAATGCAGGCAAATAATTGAACTTCAACAAACTATGTCTTGATGACGTCATAGTTATGCAGTTATGCGCCTGTTATTTATTCTATTACAACAAACTATTTTCTAACAATTATCAATGCAAATTATCATAATTAATTGTGTGGTAATGACGTAAATTGAGGCATTGCAAGTAGAGTCATAAATTCATAATTTACAAAACAAATGAGTGTATTTAACAAAAGAAATCTAGTATTGGTAATATTGACCTGATAACTAAGTTAATTATACTAATAATAAACTAAGTCTAGTGTGTTGATCATAATAAAGCTAGAAGAAGCATTCGAGTATTGAAATAACGAAAGAAGGATGTAAGCTAAAATAAATAACAATTACCTTCTAGATCATATATGATGGCAATAAAAATACTAATTGACCGTGATCAAGGAAGGCAAAATAATCGAAAATCGAAATACCACCCTAATCCCTACATAAATAAGTTGTGAGTCATGCGACACTTACTTGAGTGTGTCTTCGGTCTCGTTCAGTACAAATTTCCTGAGTTGGTATCTGCTATCTTCTTTCCCTCTCTTCATCAGAAAACCTTCCATAGAACCAGAGAGATAGCTCTGCCGTTCAGGATGGCAAAACTCCTCTCTTTCATACTTCGCACGTATCCACTGTTCTATGAGAACTCTGTAATGAGAACGATGACGGTGTTATTTTCGTTTTTGCAATCAATATTCACCCGATTGGAATTCCTAAGGTTCATTACGCTGTTTTTATCAAAATTCCAGAATAGATTACCTCGTAACGGCGATTTGGAAGTAATAAAAACGGATATCGATCCACTATTAAGCATCATAACAAAAAATCTCAATCGCGCTATCTGTATCAGTCGTTCGTGGTATGGTGTTGGTGTCGTTCTACGAATGCACGTAGAGATAAGCCATCTAGGTCAAGTTTTGATAAATTTTAAGTTTAATGTTGTTATTTGGGAACGTGTTTGGTGGGTGCCCAAACATGATATTGAGAAATTGCATTTTAATCGTACTTTGACGAGCGTGTTCCGGACTCTACCGCTTACGTCAAGTTTAAAATCCTATTGAGACTACTTTAAACTTTAAAAGGATTGAAATTTAAAAATCGCGACATAATAAAAATATGGAAAAGCTTTGTTTTTTAGTTAAGTCCCAACTCCCATTCCACCCATGCTAAAAACAATACAGTTATAAAGATAAAAATCATAAACGTCAAGGACTTTTGAAGGCTTTCTGGGAAAATCCCGAAAATAAAAACACATTTAAAACGTTACACAGGTAATTCCAAGAACCATAAAAGTAGGTGGGTAATTGTTTTTGATGACTTGCCCTTTCGTCGAGTACTTAACACAAACAACTTTTTAGGTACCTAAGTAAATACTACAACATGGTTTAATTGTGTGCCGCTTACTTTATCAGTTTTGTATAACATTCCTATAATACAAGGGTTTTGTTTACCTTTTAAGATAACATTCAGTAGATTGTTTAATGGATATCTATAAAATTTACTTTGTCATCGACGAGAATGAACAACATCCAATTCGATGTGCGCTTTTAAAATAACTATTTACTGACTAAAATCAAAATAGATTACAAGCTGCTGAGCAAACTTTTAATGTGAGGGAAATTATTCTCATTTATAGCTCTAGGTTACAAAACTTCAAATAAATATTGTAAATACAGTTGCTCAAAAAACGCCTGACGAACGAAGCTTCGGGCAATCGCTAGTACCTACCAAAGTTAGAAAATCCGTGGGTGTAAAGAACTACTTGGAACATAATATTACGAGCTTTCCAAGAAAACTTCTTGGTACTACCTATGCTATCGTGTCTTAAAGGAATACGGACTCACTGTGGATCGCTCTTCGTCGGTCGTCTGTAGCAGGGTGGCACTCGCTCCTCGTATTTGTTTTTGGCGGCGATGTTGCCGACCTCATTCATTCTCTGGACCTGCGAGTCTTCCCAGCGGTCCAGGTTGAGGTGCTTGACCTTGCTGATATGGGCGCCCATGCCCCGGTGGATGCTGGCGCAACGCATGCAGATGAAGATGCCCAGGTTGTAGGACGCCCAGTCCGGATCTGGGGACAGGTTTATTTTGTAAAATCAGCTAGTTAAAGCTTTAAATTTAGGGTGGATAGAGCTGTGTTGTTTGTGGTTAGAGTATATGACCCCGTTTCCACCAAAGCGGACACATCTCTTTTCACTGGTTATTCAAATACATCTTCTCTCCTCTCCGATTTGGTGGAAACCGGGCCCTAGAAGCAGATTTTTTTCTTTATCGGGATTTTGATCCTGATGTTACGCTGCGTAAGAAGAAGCAGCCTCAAACATTCTTGACTCTACATAGAGAGTGCACATATTCTGATTGAATAAATTGCTGAGTCATGGAGTAGACAAATATATTGATAAGTTCATAACGAAGTCAAAAGAATGTTGCTAAAATCTTCGCGTTATCTTGGCCGTTAAAGAACATCGACCTTAAGAGCGTTTACGCGAAGCGCGGCGTTTCAAGGGGCATCAATGGAAATGATTCGCGCGCGGCGTTTTTTAATAGTTTTCAAATGTTTATAGCAAAACAATAACAATGAATTAAATATAGTTTCAAAGTAAATATTTTAAAGAAGATGTTGTTTTATTATATTCAGCTATTTTTATGTTGAACTAGCTTTCCGCCCGCGGCTTCACCCGCGTGGAATTTTGTCTGTCACAGAAAAACTTTATCGCGCGCGTCCCTGTTTCAAAAACCGGGATAAAAACTATCCTATGTTCTTTCCCGGGACTCAAACTATCTCTATGCCAAATTTCATCAAAATCGGTTGCGAGGTTTAAGCGGGAAAGCGTAACAGACAGACAGACAGACAGACAGACCGACAGACAGAGTTACTTTCGCATTTATAATATTAGTTGGGATAAAGGAAGAATATTGGTGAAAAAATCACTTTGATTTTTGGGTATTTCACGTTCTTTTAATTTGTGATTTTTTATTGTTAAATGCTTAAATCTAAAAATTTTCTCAGATAACTATTTGCCCAAGGATCTATGCTATAGGATTTAAATGTTTGTTAAATCGTTTTCACAGTATTTTTATAAAAATTTCAGCTTGTAAACTGACACTAAAGTGGAAATTTACAAAACCTGTGTGGACTTATCTTGATAGAATTCTTAAATACTAAACTAATCGCAATATTTTCTCAATTAACTATTTAGACGACGAAATTGCCTAACTATTTATGCCTATAACATATTTGTAGTATTACTTGTTAATGATTGTAACGAGTTGAAAAAGTACTGTTTTTGCGCCAAACGGCGTAAACGCTCTTAACGAGGTGGATATAAAATTTTCCTCACGATTGCGGTTGGTTTTATGTCTGGAAACAGTCTCCAAAGTTAGCTATTTCTTTACGCTTCTTTATCAATGGTACAATCCAAGAGTTGAAGTGTTAATAAAATGTCAATTGATTGACTAGGACAATGACTCAATAGTTTTGTTCTTATCGGTAAATCAGAATAACGTAATACCTAATATGCAAACACAGTTGCGCACTGCGTTTACGAGAAATTCGTGACGTCAATCACCGTCATCTATGCTAATATTGTAGAGGTACACACGTATTGTTTGTTGTAATCTATAAATAAAAAGGTAAATCCCAGTATTGTTTCAATATACGAGTATTTACTACGACTACGGGCCTAATAAATAGGCAAGGGGTAAACACCCAGAGGTCTGATGCTTAAAAACAAAGAAATGGGTTTTGTTTAAGGAAATATTGTTTTGGTTAATAAACAACTTAAAAGAATCATTTTTCCTCACTTCGCTAGTGTAGAAAAGTGTGAACTTGCCTATCTAGGATACATAAATAATTTAAAAGTGTTGATCACTTCTGCTGGCTCAGCCGCGGCCGCGAGGAAAAGCCTATTAGATCCATTGTAGATGAAAATATTGCGTGAAAGAATCGAACGTTTCTATAAAAACACATTAAAGGTAACGGTCGCGCATTACACAAAGACCGCGATAACGATTCCTATTCTTACTCACGCCATGGAGAGAGCAAAGACGTCATGCCAACGCATTTACCCCATTGTTTGGCAAATTAAGAAATATTTTGCAAAAAGAGTTCATGGCCGTCATTTTCCGCTAATCGTATTCAACAGAGAAACCCTGCAGTTAGGTAATTCTGTAGAATATTACAGTAAGTTATTAAACTTCTGAAATACGCAACTAGGTAGTGTTATTAGCAAATTTTTAAGGTCAACAGGTCTCTTTCAAAAACTTTTAACTACATATCTCTTTCTAAAATAGTGTATTAGTGAGGTCTCTAAAAATCGATGGTACCTACCTACTACCCAATTTAAATAAATATTCAATGCATACAATAGTGAATCGTACTGCCGTTGGCATACCTACTTATGAATGAATTTGATTGTTGTTTTGCCCCACCACTAAAAGTGTACGTCGCGGTGGCCGCCTCGAAATAGAAACCAATGTCCCCGCTGTGTTTAACAACACTCTCATTTCACATACAAGGATGTAGGTAATCTTACACTAAGTAAGTAGCTAGGTAATGTTGGGAAACCCAAATATTCTCGAGGAAAACAGGTGCTTAGAAGTTCAGAACTTTTACATTTCCTACGGACTGTCCCACTTTAAACCCCGTCTGTAAGGTTATGAGAACCAAGGCGAAACTGCCCGAGCATTTAATAAACAGTCGCAGTTAGTTGATTAAATAAGCTATATTGTATCATGTCTAACGAAGAAATGGCATCATAATAATCATGAATTTCTAGTCGATTAGTTAGATGATTAACCAAAAAACCCACAATCTTTTTCAAGCCTGAAGCAATGTGTGACTCATAATACTTATTGACTAAAGCTCGGTTTCCACCAAGAGGAGCGGAGTGGAGAAATGTTTTGAATAACCAATCAGATTTTATTTATTCAGATTAAATGAAATTGACAAGAGTGAAATCTGATTGATTATGTTCATTATCGCTCCGCCTTGGTGGAAACCTGGTCTTATTGTGCGTTGGGTGCTGAAAAAAGCTCCTGAATTCAGCAAAAGAAAACACGTCCAGTGCCTCATTTATAAGTTCTATAATTTCCACTAAAACCATAGCAAAGATCACATTTACAGTAACCTAACTGAAGTTACCAGCTTTTAGGATCAATTTCAACACTTGGGTCGAAAGTTTAGAGCTCTACATACGTCTGGTCGACATTTAGACATTCGGTATCCTGAAAACTTTTAGCCATTGAACTAACAGGCTAATTTAGCCATCCGGCTGCGACACTACATCCGTGTATAGTTTACAAGCACGAGAGCACACCGACACGACGTCACACTCACACGTAGACAGTCGGCCTCTGCGCTGGTCGTAAATAACAACCGTGTGTTTTGGTCATAATAGTTAATACTCGTGTAGGTGAATCTTCGCTAGGTATTCCGAAGTCGAGCCGAAACTTGTTTCGGTGAGAATACTATCGTGGATATTCGCGAATATGCCAAAAATAACCACGAAATTGTTATTTATTTTGGGCAAACGAACGCGTGATACGATAATGGCAGTGTCTGGAGATCACGTCAATATTTTACGACACCTAATATTAAAAGTAATGCGACTGAAAACAAAATAACAACTTGATATCGGATATTTACCAGCTACCAAGAGCGATAAATAATACCTACAAAGAACCAAGATTCCAAGCACTGACCACAAGACAAACCTATCAATTGCTAAATCCTATGCGGTTACAGAGTGGTTTACTTCACAGAATATCTTATGAAGCGAATATCCTATTATGTGTGGAAAATTATTATAAAATATTAAGTAAGTAGAGTTCTTTTTCTTGGAGTAAAGGCAATTATAGATTATATTAATGACCTATAATCACGATTAGATGCTTCTGAGTATGTCATTCAGAAAATGTACTTAGAATCAGACACGGATTCACTTAATCAGGTCTGAAATTAATGTAGAGCTCACTTTTTATTTGATAAGTGAGATAATGTTAAAATCATGATACCGAATTAAAGGCAAACTTGTTTCCATTTGGGAAATGTTTAAAACATACATAGGTAGGTCTATAAATAATTTATATTAATGCGACTAGCAGGTAGTCACAATACGGAGAATGTTCATAGAGCCGCGAACCGATTGCTATGAATGAAACGTAAAAAGGTAATCGTAGGTTGCATTGCACAACAATTATAAACAAGAAACCATAAGTAATTAATGTTTGATTTTACGACCATGTAACCAATTAAACTCAAATCATGAAGGCGTTACCAAAGTAAGATTTACATTTATATCTAATTTACACGTCACGTGCGTTTGCTTTGACGAAAACAAGCGAGAATAGATTAAACTACACGAAAGAGAGATTTAATATTTATAGGTTTTTAATGTTTTGCATCTAATAGCGATTGGGTTTCCTGTTATTCGACTTAGGCTTTCCTTTTAATAGATATTTTCCTACATACTCTACATATTTGTGTGTAACGGTAATTGGGTATAGTTCTTGCAACTCACGAAGGCGATTGAGCTTTACTTTTGTGTGTACGTGTACATAACGATAGTGTAATGTATATCAAAACTTTTGAAAAACAACAGTAGAGAGCCACCATACATGTAAAGCTCACTCGCCTTCGTGAATTGCTACAACTATAATCTGTTTATGAATCATAATTTCAATGCTTTCGATGCCCTTTGCTACATGCACAACTACCTACTAACAAACAGCACTTGTTTATTAATAGCTCTACGAGAATTGTATTGGAAAGGAGCTTATCGCTCGACTAAAAACATTTCTTTGGAATAGCTCACAAAAGTCAAGGCGATAAACAAATGTCGAAAGCAGTTCATAAACTATCCGGTCGCTATGACTCATGCAGTCTCATAGGAAGGTTTTGACGCCCTACATGACTCTACACTGCACGTAGGCCGATTGACTAACTAAATGGAAAGTAGAAAATACATAGAAGTAGGTAGATAGGATGCGCATTATCTCACAAACAACAACATGCATGTGTCATCTGTATTATCCTAAAAGATATGAGAATAATAATTGTTGGTGACTGCAGTGACTGGTTTAGTTTATTTTTGTTCCTGATGTTACTTAATCTGTGATCAAATGCAGAAATACCACAATTTCAACAAAGAGACCCTTGAAAATACCATAAGCCCGCTTTGTTAGGTAGTTTGCAATACGCGTCTCTCTATTCAGGTGCGACCTTTTTCGCAACCGTACAAAAAAACCATCATTGTGCTTGATAGTTTGCTAATACGCAGCAGGTAGGTAGTAAAGATCACAGACAGGCGACACAGAATTAGGTCACTCTCTCACCACCCACTTCTGTAACTAAGTTTTAAAATTATGTCAAAACTTTCGGCACGCTTGTTTTTGTTGCCTCGGCCAGAAACAGTTGCATGTTGTTGCATCATTACAAGGGTCACATTTGTTTGGTGGGCCATTTGTTAATAGATAGAGTCTCTCAATTTGTTAAGAGGAGTGTTCTATATTGTTTAGCTACTTCATAACGCAAGAAAAAGTTTTCTAAATAGGTTCGAAATCAACAATTTAAAACGAAATTTACGACTCTACCTTTACAAGGCATGAAAATACTACGCTTCATACGTAGTGCGTACATTAGCTACGCAAGTAGATGCCTACCTCAATGGTGCAGTAAAGTTGTAGAATGTAGAGTTAATGAACAAACGCAGGTAGCAAGCGTAATGTTTTACAATACAAACATTTCTGACTCCGTAGTTCGGCACATGTTGGTCACACAAAATCAATTTTTAATTAGCGTAGGAACCTCAGAGCATCATAACCGGAACAAACACCAATAAAGTAGATACCTTCTTGAATATTTATTACGTATTATTGTTTGGATGTGTTTGAATCAATCCATACTCAGTTACTCCACGATGATTTGTTTTCATTGAATGCATTTTACGTTGAGGTCACTGAACTTCAGAGCATGGACGCACTTACGCCCCCCGCCTATTCACCCCATGCAAATACCACGCTTCACAAGGAAAACATTAGCACTAAAACGGTTTACAAATCACATTATATCACGTACCATCGGTTCCACAATCCGCACACACATTATTTCCACTTCTCCTTTGCAACTCCTGTAACAATCTCTCGTTATGATCTACCATCGTGGAACTTTTGCATCAATAATGAAGACATGCACGCCAGGCTAGCGTACGTCGCCACTCGAAAGTCGAACGCTTCCAACGAACGCGCTCTCCAACACTGCGCGAGGGAGCGAGCGCGAGCGAGACTTCGACCGACGTGCGGCGAATCGGTTCAACAAACGCCATTACGTAGTAAAAATATTGCCTGTTTCATTCGCACATGACAGGTTGCGCCTAGAATGAATGAGATAGAAAGAGAGGTCTAGTTTCAGTACATGAATGAAATGAGTGAGTAGTGGATGCCTCGTAAAACTCTATTTGTGTGTGTATGGCGTAGTATACGCAATACGACGCGAATACAAGCACCGTCTCGCGTAAATACTGGCCGTCTAGATAGCTATACATTCATGCATGGTTCATTATAAGTATACCAATGGTACTGTATCGTCGATGCTGGCTAGGTTTTTCAGACAAATGTGCTTACGTAATAGTTAAGTGGGTACATATTATGTACCCACTTAACTATTACGTAAGCAACTATTTGCTAGATGACGACAATATGTACTACATATTGTCGTCATCTAGCAAATAGTTGTAGTTTTTACGCAGATAAGTACGTAAGTAGGTAGGTACGTATAATGTATTTTCAGGTGGGTGCAACGGTTGTTACTTAGGAACTGTTTTCCTGCGTCACAGTGAAGTAGGTAAGTAGGTATTCAATATTTTCAATAGCATCGCTAATGACAGAAAATGAAATTCTTATACCTACCTACTTTTCTTTAATGGAGAAACTTTACCCACAAGGCCACGGGCCTGCGACACAATTAATGTAGGTACCTACCTATAAGCCATAGTTAGGTGTGGTTTAGTTTACGCAACAAATTAATAAGCACATAACTTTTAGGTAAGGTATGACCGTAAAAATACCGTAATCGGCGACAAAAATAATGACACTGTTAACTGGAGGTTAAGTAGGTAAGTTCCTACTTCTTACCCTATAGATACCCTAATGTTAGGGACGGTTGGGTGCCTATCCCACCCCAAACTCGAAGGGGTTTAACTTCCAGACTGAGTGCACCTAGTATTGCTGAGTATTCGTTAAATATTGACATACGCACGCAAACGACTCGCTACAGCGACTTGCGTGCTACCCTACAAGCACCACCAGAGGGACTCGTCAGGTTTTTAGTGGGTGGGTAGGTCTTGCCCTTCTGGCAGGGAGGGCCCCACATATCCCACTGGTGCTCCCGGACCGGTGGCTATGCAATTTAATGCATTTCCTAACGCGAAAAAAGATGAAAATACATTAGGCAAGATATTACCACAGAATAGATACAGGGTGTCCCAAAAATTAGTGTCAAGCTATAGCCCAGAGGTAGAGCATCACTAGGGCTACCCGAATCACCGCGACTTTTGTTAGTTTGTGGGTTAAGATTTTTTTTTACAACTTTATCGTTTTTCGTTTACATTTGTGTTATGGATGTAAACACTTCTGAATCAGCTAGGCCTAGTATTCATCTAATATTAATTAAAAAAAAATAGGCATGTAGTTAACTTGACTATTCGCGCCATTGTGACCAAAAAAGTGCCTAAGCGCAGAAATTTAAAACAATCGTCACTCAAAAACTAACAAAAATCGCGGAACATACATTGGGGGTGATTTGGATGGTCCTAGTGATGCTTTACCTCTGGGCTTCGGCTTGACACTTCTTTTTGGGATAGCCTAAAACAGGGATGCTGGGTGGGATAGAGGACGAGATAACAATTTACATGGTATTAAGTTGTGACGCCGACCCGACGTCCCCTAGCATTGAAATTAAACTTCATTGTAATATTTATAATAGCAGTTAAAAGCAGTGATTTGAATATTTTAGTTCATATAGGTTATGGCCAGATAGTTACTGAAGTTGAAAAGTGAGATCTAAGTATACCGCCTCCTTAAGAATGACATGCTTAGGTTATTATGGCGTCTAGTGTTTTTATTAAAAGATTTCAAAATAACTATAATTTATTAATAAAAATTACGATCAAATAAAAAAAAAATCTATTTTTTTATGTTATCAAAGGCGTTTATTAAATAATTTTAGTTTCTTTGCGCTGCCTCTGAAAAAAACCTAAACTTGTTAGCATGGCCGTCTGTCAATGTCAGTTTGACAGGAACTGTCAACAATAACCAAAAAGTTGGCTTGGATGGGATGGGTAGCGTTTTTCAGCGTTGATTCGAAAGTAATTTCATTTAAACTAGTTGAAGTAAAGTGCTAAATGTTGTAGTGAATTCAGATCTAGACCGGCGATTAAAAAAAACTCCAAAATGGGGCGTCGTTCCATCAATACCACGAAAAGTGGTAAATATATGAACCCGACGGATCAAGCAAGTAAGTGTCCATACAACCAGCCAAATAATGAAATATCCACTGAAATATGCTACATTTTATTGCTCATGGTACTTCTGTTATTAGGAAAGGAAGCCAGGAAGAAAGAGTTGAAGAAGAATAAGAGGCAAAGACAGATGGTTCGAGCAGCAGTTTTAAAAATGAAAGATCCAACACAAATTTTAGAAGAACTCCAAAAGATTGATGAAATGGGTAAATTATGTAGTAAAATTTCATACATATAGTATTACTAGTAAAGGCTGTTCCTATTATGCTTGGTTTAAGGTAGCAATGTCATAGTAAACCTGAGAATTGCTTGAGTAATTAATGTCTGTATCAGATCAATATTGTAAAATAATCTTGTCTCTATAGCCTTATTGAAAGTTTCTGAATGTTACAGAGTATAATGTGCTTCAACCGTCTCCTCTTAACGAGAAGGTCCTCAAAGAGAAAAGAAAGAAATTGAGGGAGACATTTGATAGGGTCCTCAAGATGTATGTAAGTATGAAGTTTGTAATAAACACGGGTTGATAACGTACACTAAAAAATATACTTACTAAGAAATACTATGGCTGGGTTGCACCATCTTACTTTAACTTTGACAAACGTCAAAAATCTGTCAAACTCCATACAAAAAACACCGGTTATCCTTAAAGTTACGGTCAAATTTAGCTGGTACAACTCAGCCTATATTTCTCTATACAAACTGCAGTATAATTTATTAAGTCTTGTAAGGTTGTTCTATAATCTTTAGTTTTCTTTATCCGATAAATCCCCAAGCGGTCGCATATGACCATGTAACAATTTATTATCTACTAGCTGACCCGGCGAACTTCGTACCGCCTTAGCGTAGAGATTTTCTTAATATTTTTTTCCGTAAGAACCATCCTTGGACTTCCACAAACATTTAAAAAAAAGAATTATCGAAATCGGTTCAGCCGTTCACACGTGATGCCGTGACAACGCGAAACGGGTTTCATTTTTATATATATAGATGTCTCGATTTGTGGGGATATACAATGTGAAGATAGGTCATTTTAAAAGATTAATTGTCGATTACAGGACAAAGATGATTCCGAGAAATGGGTCGAACTTAAGCGTCAAGAGATGGAATATGAGAAAAGGAGAGCTCACTTGATATCTTATTACGAATCTGTCAAACATGCCCAATCGGTTCAAGTTGACGATATCCCCCTGCCAACTCTACAAGTAAGTTGAATAATATTATAATAAAGTTTATTTGTACAAATTGTTACATCTAGTATCTTATAGTAGATACAAGTAATACAAGTTATTGGCGACATAATGAGAGATATGGTTCAACATTAACTCCAGTACTAGTCTTCTTTTAAACTGTATGACAGTCAAACAGTTTGATTTATACATAAACAAGTCATTATGTTGTATTACATGAAATAACATGTAATACAACAAAAATGTGTAACATGTACAGTACTTATTCAAATATGTATTACTAAAGTTATTTCTTATTTTAGGTACCAGAAAATGTCCTTTTTGGTAATATGCCATCACAAATACCTCTGCCACTGGACTCTGCTCATCCACTGATACCTGTCAAGCCTATCTTAAAGAAGGATTCTGCGTATAAAGTAAGTTTTTTTTAGTAAGTAAAATAAGTTAATTTTTGAAAGTCTGTGAAAAGATAGCTTTACAAATTGTAATGTGAATAATAGAAAATAAATCATTTACACATACATGTTTCATGAAAAAGTGAACATAATCTGGCTATCTTATGATGTGTTTTTTGCCGTAACCCATCAAATCCCACGCGGTTGCATAAGGTCGCAGGGCTTGAAGGGTTAATTCTTAATTTTAAAATACATATTTACAGGAACGCCCCCTAGGAATAGAGCCTCCGGGCGTGCCGCCCGGCCCGCCGCCTGTCTTCGCGCTGCTAGTGGAAGAGATAAAGACAAAATCTAAGGAAAAAGAGAAAAAGACCATTCGCTTCATGGACATGGCTGACGAAGGACCGCCAGGAACATGTGTATGATATCATTATTATTTGATACTTCTGCTGCACTTGTCTGTTAGGTATTTGGGTGGGCATAACATAAGTATAAATGCACCAGAAAATTTTAATCAAATATTAACCTACAAATTCCATTGCTATAGATCGTTTGATCCACGAAGACGCGCTCCACCACTTTTTGGTTGAGGAAAGCTGATCCAAGCAATCCGAGCGTCATTATTGTAGTGTGCGATGCGTCATTATTGTTGTATACGCACACTACGGGCGCGTCTTCGTAGATGAAATGATCTATATACTACTATAACGACTATAATCTAGTCAACATTTAACCTTCACTGTCTTTCTAATTTACCACAGGTAATTTGGAACTTCCCACTTTGGCCAGTGTATAACCAAGCAATAACAACTCACTCATTCCAATACTAAGGATTTTTTAAAACTTCTTATGCACTACGTATCTTATATCTGTTTTCACTGAATTTACAGTCGAAACCATTACCTCAAACTGTTCAACAGCACCAGCCCCCAATCGAGGACGGCGAGCCTATGGACGAAGACGAGCGTCCCACCAGCCCCCCCGGGGTCTCCGCCACCCCGGCGCCGAAGCCTACGTCGCTACAGCAGAGAATGTTGGCGCTGTCTGGACAGAATATAGACGACTTTATGAAAGAGATGGAAGAGGTGCATAGGAAGAGGGAAAGGGACAGAGCAGCGGATCTGAATGCAAGGTAAGATGAAATTATTTTTTATTTGCTGGTAAAATGTAGTATGAGAAAGGCGCCGAATCCACGTCACTACAGCAGATAATGTTGGCGTTGCATTGTCGGGACAGAGCATAGACGACTTTGGTTCATAAGAAGAGGAAAAGAGACAGAGCGGCGGATTTGAATGCAAGGTTACTTAAAACAATTTTTACTTGTCACTAAAGTGTGTACTGTGTAGTAGCACAACCGCTTTGTATGACGTTTTATTTTTCTTCCTTCTTCGGCGGCAGTGTTCGAACCCGCGTTCCTCGGATCACGAGTCGGTCAGTCCTCGCAATGAGGGCTATCGTTTTTATACTTAACAGTTGGCACCCCTGGCGATTGACAGGACCTTACTTTACAGTGGCGCCATCTTGATGAGTGCAAATACGATAGTCCTCCTACCACTTTAGCGCTCACAAGTTGGCGCCACTGTCTTCGCTACTAGCAAGTGACAGGACCTTACTCTACAGTGGCGCTAACTGGTGAGCGCTAAAACGATAGCCCTCATTTCAATCATTCTCATACGTCATTACCTTGTTAGCGGGACGATGTTCACACGTCAACTCAATAATCCTCATTCAATTAGATCACTAAGTTATTAGATTTATTTTACTTTATACTTCTCCTTGCTCATTCTACAAATCTTTCCAGACTGAGCGCGCTAAAACGCAGCACTGGCGGGCGCGATAGCGACTCCGACAGCGATACAGAGGGCGCGCCGCCGCCACTCATGCCGCACGAGTTCGGGCCGCTCGAGCCGCCCGGCGTCGAGCTGAGGCAGATGCCGCCGCCGCTGCTGCCGCCCGGCAGCCTGCCGCCAGGTAACACAGCTCGGACGTGACAGCGACGTGACAGCGACGCGACAGCGACGCGGAGGGCGCGCCGCCGCCACTCATGCCGCACGAGTTCGGGCCGCTCGAGCCGCCCGGCGTCGAGCTGAGGCAGATGCCGCCGCCGCTGCTGCCGCCCGGCAGCCTGCCGCCAGGTAAATGCGAGCAGCAACAGGACAAAGAATGGCTCGAAAGGAACCTTCATTGAAATCGTCTATAGTGGCTGCAGCCAGCGCTATTAGTAGCGCCATCTATTGTTTTTTTCTGAAACATATTAAAAAGCAATGTCATAATATTGAGACATAATAATGTATTAATATACCCATAGATGACGCTTTACGAAGAAATACTCGCGCTCCTCGATAAAGCAATTTTTGGTCGACCCATACTGAAGTGAAGTGAATATACCCATAGATGGCGCTTTGATAAGAAATTCTCTCGCTTCTCAAAACCCACTCTTGTATAGCCAATATCTAAGATTGGCCACCAATAACACTCAACCAAACATTATTTACTAACATAATTACATACTTTTTACAGTTATTAATTTTTGTTTTTCTTCATGGGACAAGAGGCAAATGAGCAGATTAGAACGAGTTACGTTTTGATTTGTGTTCAATATGATGAGAAACCAATGTTTTAAATCCACAGGTCTCCGCCCACCTCCTCTCCGTGCACCATTAGGGCCGCCGCCGCTCCGGCTGCCCCCCGGGCCCCCCGCGGGCCGGCCCCCGGCGCCCCCGGGGCCCCCGCCCGGCCTGCCCCCGCGCGGCATGCTGCGACCCCCTGGCCCCCCGCCTGGGGCCCCCCCTCGTCTGTTGAGGCCCCTCGTCCCGCCCCCGCCGCCTAAAGCGATGCCCCCGGTATCTGTGTTGTCGGCCGCACCGCAGCTCATACCAAAGAAGGATGGACCACAAGGTAGGTTAAAAAACAGAATAAGAAATAGAGATAAATGATACTGATGAGTAGCTGATACAATTTGACTAAAGCGAGATAACATGTGGAGCTAAAATCTGTATGCCATAAGCATCTGCCATAAGAATTTGACTGTTACAAGTGCGTGAGTTAGTTCTATGTCTTTTGAACGTGTCGTTTTGGTACCATTGCAGCAGCAAAACCATATCCTTCCACCAGTCAAAGCATCGCGTCTCTTTTGATCACTTAATATTGGCCAAACTAGTGTGCCGAATCCCACGATTGCAACTTTAGAAAAGAATTTAATTGAATCCCGTTTTAAATATGAAAGTTTATTTATACTTAACAAACTCAGAACTTTGTTTGACACGACCCAAGAATTCTAACTCCATTCTATTTCCAGGTGCAACAATATCAGCCAAGCCGCAAATCCGCAACTTGTCAGCTGACGTGACCAGATTCGTGCCTTCGGCTCTGCGTGTGAAACGCGAAGACAAGAAGTCTAAACCTACCAAGACGGGTGCCTTACTTCGGCCAACTGAGATGCCAAAACAAGCGCCAAGCAAAGACGACGCGTACATGCAATTCATGAAGGAAATGGAGGGACTGTTATAGCTTGTAAGTGTATATACAATTGGTAGATATTAAATTACGTGCTGATGATGATTTTGTTTGATTTTAATCATAATCTTAGCCAGTTGATTAGGGACTTGGGCCGGGGCCCCCTCCGGTCGGGGGCCCGTGGCGTTTTGCCAGCCTTGCCACCCTATAGTTACGCCACTGATCTCAGCAGTCTAATCTTCTGCGAGTCTACTTGCGCAATGTCATCAGAAGTTTACTTGTGGCGCAGGTACATTATGCGCGAATTTGATCGAGACAGAAATAGTGTAAACGTTAACACGCATTTCAGTTCGTTCGCCGTGTGTCGCCCATAGTGTAACTGCACCAATACCTCTCACGCAAAGCGAAATGCCAGAATGAGCGACAGTGACGGATAGATGCGAAACTACATATAAGACTATTAGTCTATTCATTCAATAACTAGGATCGGCAAAATGAAACAATGTGTTGCTCTTGTAAAGTAGTGATATTTTCAACAATATACTATCATCTATTCACACAGAAATTGTTTACGAATCACAACAGAGAAACGACATTTAAAGTTAATTCATCAGCTTGTCGATTCCTTTAAAATTATTATACATTTTCATCTTCTAAAATAATAAAATTTTCACTTTAATAACACCATGTCAGATGTCATATGTCACATGTCAACATGAAAAAGAAAAGTAGCTCTGCTCTCTGCCTAATTAAAAAAACAACTAAAGAGGATTTATTCTCTTATATACATTTAACAACGCTCGCATTCAATCAGTTGATAATGTCTAAAGTATTGCTTAATGTATAGTTTTTGCAAAATTAAATACTGCTCGAATCAGTGAAAGAGGAAAAGGTTAATTTTATTAGTAAAACCAATTTTGATGAATTTTAGAATAGATTCTTATCGGTGAATGACATAAGGATCCTTTTGAACCAAAGGGCTGACAAAAGTTTAAAGTTCATATGTTAAACTTATCATATTAACTAATAGACAGCTTTAATGACAGATCTAATATATCACTGCTCATTTATGCCAGATGAGAATTTCCTAATTAGATTTATACTCATAAGTTCATAACAACTTTAGTGTTATCTGGCGCAAGTTTAAAATTAGCTAACTGACCTACTTCTTCGCTTATTACTACGATTTATTCAATGAGTAATAGAAAAACAAAATAATATTAAGTAACAAACTTAGAAATGCTTTATTATGAGATTCGTCTTGTATCTAGTTTTGCTGACATTTAAAGCATTAAGGGATTAATAAAGAGTAGGTAAATGAAAGAAATTAAATTGTTCATTGCAAACAAATTCGCTTTATGCACTTGCAGTAACAATTACTTGCAAAAAATCTTTAATGTAAAATAAAAACCACTACATAACTAGACTTAAAAAACAATAGACCCGTGTTGCACATTTATTAATCTTTGGTATCCATTTCTAAATAATAAAGCTAAGTATTTTCTATTCTTTAACAAATCGCGTAAATTTCGGAGGCGGAGCAGGGTCTGGTACAGCAGGCCTTGATGATTTTCTCGCGTAGTTCCCAGCGCCTGATGGTAGCTTCTTCTTGGGGGATTAACGGCATTCCGTTGTCGATGAACATATCTGTGAACAGGCGTTTGTTTTAAAAAAAATATAACATTATACAGCCAGGTATATTTTTTTGTAATGATAAAGACTGCTTTTTATACAAATTCAATCGATGTGAAAGTTAATTTTTCGAGTTCAATTCTACAAAGTTATTTGCATAAGTCGAAGTTATTTACTTGGTTAGTGATTTTCTATAATAATTATAAATATCTCTACATGCGACGAGAGAGTGTCTTTGTTATAATCTGGGGCTAATTTCCTAGAGGTTAATAACTTTTTATAGTTATGATAATAAAAGCTTCTAGCACCTTCTAGTTTTGTATCATGTTTACTACGACTCGGTTTGAAACAAAAGTAGCGTAAGTATGACATGCCTTATGCTTATGGCCTTATCGTAACAAACGACACTAGTTTTAATGTAAAACCAATCACAGCCTTAAATCAATCTTGAGTTCGAATTGATTTTTTGCGTCGTTTCATTACGTACATAAGATTTCACTACTGCTGACTGCTGCGTATCATTTTTGTGATATATTCAATGAGATATTCCGACGATGTTTACACGACACTAATGATCACAACAACCAATTAAATTACCCACCCGCATAATCACCATAGGAAGAACACATATTGATCATGTGGCGAGTCAGTGACCTGACACACTCCGCTATAGGGAAGTCGTGGCTTGGCGGGAGAATGTGTGAGTGGCCCAGCTCGTGGGTACAAGCCACCACTAGGGCTATTAGGACGTATTTGCCATCCATTTTTGCATCTAGAATAAAAAAATAAGATGGATATTAGTGAAACTTTGCTAACTTACGCCCGTATTCACAAACGGTGAAGCAGCAAACGTACAGCGTTGAATAGAGCTCTGTGATTGGTTTGTCACCCTGTGCGTCTACGAGCACTGTGAGACCTCATAGTATTGTTTGTGAATACGGGCGTTAGTTGAATTTAAACGATCTAAATCTAACAGACACAGTACAAATGTAACAATAGTAATGTGAGGGGACAAGGAAGTTTGGTGAACCAAAACCATTGTTTCAGTGTTGTTGACCTACATAATTTTATTTATTTTATCTTTCTTTTATTACTTAAGCAAATTATAAACTTAATATTACGCCTTCCATTACTAAATAATGTTTAGTGATGCTCACCTGTTTTCTCAAATATTCACGCACTGCGACCCCACACCGGCGAAGGATCCACACCCAATGTTGCTCAATAATAATTTTCAGCCTTTTATAGGTTTTCCCCAATTTACTTAAGCAGATTTCCAATAAAACTTCTCGTTTGTTTTACAAGTTTAACGCAAAAAGTTTTGTAACATAATTATTTTGCGGATAATGCCCAAAGAAATATTCAGGGCGCAACTCAATACGCGCGCAGAACATGAATGAACATTAACTTAAATTCGGTAAACATGTTATAATAATAACCGGTATCGAGTTTTATCTAAAGAAGTTAAAAACTACTTTATCTTATATACCTAATGACCTATGTACTACAAATCCCAAGCAAAATATAAACAAATCAATGACTTTTTGTGCTGAGGTTCTGAAAAAATTAATGTAAACAAAAACTATTTTTGAAAAGGTAACAGGTACTGTAATGAAGGGTTAACAACAATCACTAATTTAAAGCTGCTTTACAAGTCTGATTCAGGGTTTAATTTTAATACCAGCTATATTAAACTCCTGATCAGGGTTGAGCGAAATTGTATTTCGTCGCTCTATGCTTCAAGTTTTGGTATTATGTACATTGTATTTCATACGGATTATACTCAAATGTTCAGAATGTTTCACAACAACAACATCTTGTAAAATCTTATGAAGATTATCAAGAGGAAAACACGTAATCTTGTTTGTCTTTTATATGTATGAGGAGGTATGACTGAAGCCCAGCAACTTGCCTAGCCTAAAGTGCAGGGCTTCTTCTTACCTACATACCTAGCGAGTTCTTGTATAATCCCTTCTCTATGGTGGATAGTTACTGATTTTGCTTAGGCTTCTTCCTATTTTTTTTTTTTATAGCCAGGTCTGGGATTCCAGCTTACGTGTTCTTCCCAATGTATTCCGCTAAAGTCAGCTAGCTAGTCAGGCTTCGGTTATTTTGATTTCCTTCATAATCTATACTTATAATAAATCTGTAGAGAGGTCAATTCTGTACATGAAATATATTTTCAAAATAATTATCAGGGGGTGATTAGTGATCGATACTGATGCCAAAAATGCAATCAGTAAAATTTTTGTCTGTCTGTCTGTCCGTCTGTATGTTCCTTATAGAAACAAAAACTACTCGACGGATTTTAACGAAACTTGGTACAATTATTCTTCATACTCCTGGGCAGGTTATAGTATACTTAGGAATTCCCACGGGAACGGGAGTTAGCGGGAAAAAACATTTGTATGAAAAAATGTAAACCGCGTAAGATATGTAGATGAAGGGGGTAAAACGGGATCCACGCGTACGAAGTCCCGGGCGGCCGCTAGTTAGGACATAAAACACGTTTCACCTTTCCTTTGTCCTAACAGACATGTCCTATTCGATTGTATAAGTATATTAATGCAAAACAAAGCAATCACAACTGATGTTAAATGAGATGCAGTCTAGGAATTACCTATGTACTATCCTAGATTGCATCTGCAGGGCAAGCTTTGTAAGTTCCTAACTTCCTAAGCTATTACTCTAGCTAGCCTTGAAGAAGTAAGCGTGCCTTTCCAACTCCAATTGTGATTTTATTTAGCGAAAGGTAGGTACTCTTTCTATGTAAAGAAATAGATACTTTATTATTGTAAACAGGTTGTCATGTCACGGCCATATTGATAACCGATTACATTATAATCGCAGAACGATTCGTCTTACTTACTTCGTCTCGTGAGAAGTGAAAAAAAAAAACACGTAGAGTCATTATTCATTGACCGTTAGGTAATTATGTATAAGATACAAACAAACATATAAAAAAGTATCGTGAATACTATATTTCATATAATTTCAGCAACTTGTAGCTAAGAAATAAAATAAAATACATAAATAACGTGCCTCACAAAATCTCAAGATGTTATTCTTCTTTTGATGAATTTTGCTATGATGAATACATAAGGATAGGTAGGCTTGTAAATTGATTTCCTAAACTCCTTTTAAACTAGGTAGATAGGTACTAAAGTCATGTAATGAAATTGCTAATAGTTATGAATAAGTTTTAAATAGAGAAAGGAAACATAAACTAAAATTAATAATAATTACCAGTCGTTCGTTCTAATTAAAGTCGGTTGTTTTCTCCGGTACATTTACACGGACCTGTCAAAGATTATTGTGTTGTTGTAATAACTTATGTATCTATTATCTAACGCGGATAAAACATATGCTAATAATGTGGGTCGTGTGGTCATTGTTTTGGTATTTAACCGAAAGATAATAATTTTCCTATACATTTCCTACAACTTTGGTTTTACTTGTTATTATAACGATGGGGGCCATACAACATACCGGAAGTATGGTATGGGTTAAATAGGTGTCGACTGTACAAATAGAATAAATAAATGTAATATACAGAATCGATACCAATATTTAAATGCGAATGTTTGTGACAACACAGGACGGATTAAAATGAAACTTTTCTACATTAATAGTTTATTTTACCTACATCAGACCAGCATAGGTACAATGTGCAAGTCTGATCACGTACCCTATTAATCAATGTGGGTTAAAGTTAACAAAGTATTTTTAGTACTTCTTACTCGGACGAACCGAAAAATAGTTTATAACAGAAAAATCCAAAGTACATAATATGATCTAAGGGTAGAACAGATAGGTAAGTTCATAAAAGTGAATAAAGACCGGGTCTGACTAACACATACCTACTAGTGATTGCAAAACGGGTCCGGCTGGGCCGGGACCCTTCTAGGTACCCACCGGGCCCGGCCATTCTTACCGGGCCCGATCACCGGACCCGGTAGGTGAAATTATTTGTGTTGTTTATACCAAATCTACCAAAGTTTATCTATCTATTTAAGTTTTTATGACACGTTTAGTACTTCAAGCTGCGTTATTTGTTTAAACTTATAAAAATGAATCATTACTAATACTAATGTTACTTTTCCGTCCATAAGTAGGTAATCAATTCTGTATTAAGTGTGATTTTGTTACTTGAGTATTGAATAATTGTCTTTTTCCATTCATATACAACGTGTTCCTGACAATATCCTGTAACTCTAAGATATTAAGACCACTTTAAAATAAATAGACCACTTTTAAATAACCGGGCCCGGCCGGGTTGAGGAACATCATCATCATCATCAACAGCCCTTTACAGTCCACTGCTGGACTATGAGCCTCCTCCACTATAGTGGAGGGTTTTGCCATAATCTCCACGCTAGGCAGGCGGGTTGGAGATCGCAGTTTAAAAGTTGATGTTTTTCAGAGAGCGCTGCTGCCCATTCTCTGTTTGATGTGTAGTCCCTAAGTCGCCTCTTACGACACCCGCGGGAACATACCGGGTTGCAATCTCTAATACCTACCAATGCAAATAAACATTAAAAGTGTCCGTCTTTCTGTATAAAATAATTGAGAATAAGAATCATAGACGTAATACTAATTTATACGTAGGTAACTGTATATTATCAGTTTCTTATCTGTCATGAAAAGTAAATAAAAAACAAGAGAAGGTCTTAATCAAATAAATAGAGTCATTAAATCTTAAATACGTCTATAAATAAGCAGGTAAACAGCAGAAGTACATGCTTTATATCGGCCACACAGGGAGTATTTGCATTTATATCATCGTTACCGACATAATCGCCTATATCGATTGTGATTGGGTCCATTATATGCAAATGTGCAATAACAATTGCAACCGGCACGCCGAATGCATTCAAGTGAGCACGCACATTGTGAGATTAAAATTTGTGACGGTGCCGGTGGTTGGTTTGTGATACTGATAAGTACATAATGTACAAAACACAAACTGTCCCACGGTTGTAGAGCCGACAGCTTCATTGTCACTATTTTTATTATAAAACAAAGTCGCTTTCCTGTCTGTCTGTCCAGGGATATAATTAGATCTTTAAAACTACCAAACGGATTTTAATGCGGTTTTTTTTATAAGATAGAGTGATTCAAGTGGAAGGTTTATGTATACTTAGCACCCGAGTGAAACCGGGGCGGGTCGCTAGTATAGTACCTACTATTATTATAAAACCGCTCTTAAGTTAAACTGAAGGATTACATGATTCTTTAGTTTAGCTTGATGTGCATAGTTATGCATATCGAATGCCCCACTCTATTCGAAAGAACAATGTCGTAGCCTCTACATACTACCCACACTACCCACAGTAACTACGGGACGGGACTATTCCCACCTCTCGTTCCCACCGCTGCAACTCCTGTGTAGCCAGGATCTACAGCTTGACCGCCAATAAAAGCCCAACCAGTGAAGGTCAAGTTTGTCCCTTTTAATTAAGAAGGGAGTTGATTGACATTCTAAGGCTGAGTTGCACCATCTTACTTTAACTTTGACAAACGTCAAAAATCTCTCAAACTCCATACAAAAAGCACCGGTTATCGTCATAGTTACGGTCAAAGTTAGGTGGTGGAACTCAGCCTAAGTAATCTGTCGTTGCATAAGGATGTTGTATGTACTTAATACTAAATGAGAGATCGATGTCTTGAAGTGTCCTCCAAATCGCCCGAAATAAAATAACAGGTCTTTTTCGGTTTTTAGTGCTGTCATTTTTTTCCTCTCGTGCTATATTTAAGTACAACACCAGCTGACTCGTAAACTTTGACATACTCGTAGTTAAGTATCGGTAATTAAAAAATATTGTAACATAACTTTTAGTGGGTAGGGTAAGAGGAAAACCTACGAAAGACTGCTCCATTTTCATCCTGTATTTAGAAATGTGCTTCTCGTGATACATAGAACATACATAATCTCCTCCATCCTTGGGGGAGGCCTTTGTCCAGCAGCGGACGTCTTTCGGCTGAAACGAACGAACATAATTTCATTTGTTTCTCGTGATACATAGACTATGTTTATGCTATGTAAAATATGTAGTACCTATACCTACATAATTTCTATGAAGTTCAAAAGAGCATGTTAATTGGCAATTGCACAACTCTACATACAAAGTAATACGAAACACTGTTGAGAAAATGTGATGCCAACTGGAATAAGTGTTACTAAATGTAAATCTGCATATAATTAGAATTCTAAAAATATTACTTTAATGTTTTTGACATGTGTGTGACAGGTTACACGTGCGTTTTCCCACATTAAATACGTAGAGACCGACCCGTTAGTAACTATGAATATAAAGTTGCGAAGTATAGGGTATTTCTATATTAAAATAAGTAAAGAATAAACTGTTTTCTAATATGTTTAGATAAAAAC